AGGTTTTTCTTCAGGAACTCCACACAGTGAGCCTCCAGGGCAGGAACCGCATACTTTTTGGCTGTATACAGAGTAGTCATCACAGTCTCAGGCCCAATCTGGACTTCATCAGAATACAGAAACCTGAAACAGAAGACATTGTTGCAATTGGCAGTAAAACATAGATTTAAACATATTTTTTTTAAAATAATAATAAAAAACGTCCTTACTTTAACAGGGCCAAAAAAGCAGCTGGTTCCACATCAGGAAGTTCGATTTCCGTGGAAGTGGTCGCCATGCCACCGTTGAACATGGCATCAAACACTGCGCTGCCCACTGCCAGGACAAACCTGACACGCCACAGCAGCAACAACAACAGGAGGAGGGGTCAGCTCGGTCTTTTCAAGCCGTTTGTTTCTGCTGAAGCAAATCCTCTTACCTGTGAGCTGGTATTCTCTGAACACCCATGCCTTTGCCAACCAAGAAATGAACGTCACTCAGCACCTCGTTGTTGAAGAGAAACGCAAACCTCTCCTTGACGGTACTCTTTGTCGCCTGCCAGTTGTACACCGGCTCTCTGTACACCAGCACGGACGCTGCAGCTGGGGTGGCGCTCGGTGCGGTGGCCGGGGAGGCATTCGACGCTGCGCTGCTTACCATATTGGACGCCGGGGAGGCCATGGCTCCCGCTGCCGCAGAAGCAGCACCTGCCGCAGCGGGCGGCTGCAGAGGGTTCTGCGCAGTCGGCGGAGCTCCGCTTGAAATGCCGCTGCCGTCTGCCCCGCCAGGCCCCAGCTGCGGGTTGGGTCGCCTCGCAGTTCCTTGTGCTCCCCCGGCTGCACCGACCGCTCCCCCGTTGGATGCTGGCATTGAGAAAACGCTGTTGCTGGGCTGGCTATTCCCCAAAGGGCCCGGGCCGGAGAAACTAAGGCAAGGAAGCCTGCCGCTGTTGTCTCCAGCGGCCATCTTCAACCTGCTGTAGGCGTAAACAACAAACTTCATCTCTTTCTGTAATTGCAGTGGTCCACACGCTCAAGCTGGCCTTTTATTCCCCCTGGCGATTATTTCAGGTACTGCAATTTGTTGTCTGAATCACAACTCCTAATTCAGAAAATATTTTTAAAGATTTTTAACACTGATTAAAAATGCTTCCAAAAACATTTTTTCCAGTAAAATTGGAAAAATAAATTTGATCCTTTCTAAAATATATTTACTGATGACTAGGCAGACGATGAATCATAAATAAAACCTAAACGTGTAAAGCCAAAATGCAGTTAAAAAAATAATAATTGGATGCAATATGAAAAGCTTTATGTTTCTCGAAACTAAGGTCTATATATTATTACGTATATTTAAGCTAGCTATGGGATTTCTTTGACAATTCACAGAAATGTGGGTGCAATTACACCTTTTGGCCACCAGTTGACCTGGTTTACGGACTGAGACTAAAATCAACTGAATCGCTGCGTTATTTTGTGCACTTGTACAAAGAAATTTCTAACAATTGTCCGCTGTACAGAGCGGCAAATGTATCAGTCCATGAAAACATTATGTTTGGATTGCTGGTTAATCCATGATGTATATTTAACTAAATAGTCCATGGATATTTAGTTAAATCTATGTCGAGATGATAAAGATGACCTGAGAGTACTCAGTGACATTCATTTCTTTGACAGTTGAGACCAAAGTTGACATAAAATATAGAATTATGTTATATAGAATTTCAGTGAAACAACTAAAAATCAATTTTATCTTGGAATTGTCAAATTTTTGGGAGACTTTGCTGTGACATGGCCTGGTCAGCTAACCATCACCACCACCATAATTTTCTTTGTGAAGGTGTTTGAGAAACATGTCAATATGAAACAAGGCAATGACCCAAAACATTCCATCTATTGGTTAAATGACACCAGGAAAACATGTAATTGGGAAGATATTGCTGAATATGTTTCCTATCTCCTTATACTGATTCAGGTCAACCCACATACTCCTGACTCTTTCCTTCTTTTCTATTTTACAATGTCTCTCAAGGAGACTGGTTCCAGAACCAGAGCCATGCGTCGAGGTGAGGCCGACTATTTCTAGCCGGAACCTCTCAGCCTCGCACACTAGCTCCGGTTCCTTCCCCACCAGAGAGGTGACATTCCACGTCCCAAGAGCCAGCTTCTGAAGCCGGGGGTCAGACCGCCAGGGTCCCCTCCTTCGGCTGCCGCCCGTAACACAATGCACCCGACCCCTTTGGCCCCTCCTACAGGTGGTGAGCCCGTTGGAAGGGGGACCCACGTCTTCTCTTCGGGCTGAGCCCGGCCGGGCTCCGTGGGTGCAAGCCCGGCCACCAGGCGCTCGCCATCGTGCCCCACCTCCAGGCCTGGCTCCAGAGGGGGGCCCCGGTGACCCGCGTCCGGGCGAGGGAAAACCGAGTCCAATGTTTATATTCATCATAGGGGTCTTCAGGCTGCGCTTTGTCTGGTTCCTCACCTAGGACCTGTCTGCCTTGGGTGACCCTACCAGGGACATGAAGCCCCAGACAGCATAGCTCCTAGGATCATTGGGACACTCAAACCCCTCCACCACGATAAGGTGGCAGCCCCAGGAGAGGTAAGTTTAAATATTGCAGTTTAATCATTTCTGGGTGTTTTTCTACATTTAACACTGTGTGCCAAAGTTGTTTTTTGATGTCAAGATTTCATGGCTTTATTAATAAATGTTTCATGTCTAAGATGTTCTCAGTGTCTGTCCCAATTCAGCGTTTGTATACAGTTTAAAACAATAGAGGATTTGTCATTTTACTTTCATTTGCACCATCTTTCTCTATCTATTGTTTGGCAGACTGAGATCCAGTTGGATTTTAGCATGATGGCTATTCCTCAGTAACACATCTCAGTGTTAAGTCAGAAACTCTCTGTTTGGTAACACAGACACAAAGAAGTCCCCAATGTGCTGAGTCAAAGGATTTCCCCGACCAGACAAGCTTTTCCTGACTGTGGGATATTACTTTTTCTTTCTGCTGTAATTGCTTTACCATTGAGTTCTTTAACACCAAAATATCTGCTTCAGTGAAAGAAACAAAGGTAGATCACTGAAAAGGATTTTGATACAAAACAGTCAAACAAGAGTAAAAGTAATTCAACAATCCATCGTCCACTCGCACATGCTTGTAAGGTCACAAGCAGATGGTGCCACTCTCTAGTGGCCGTTGGGTGGGATACACCATGGACAGATTGCAAGGAAATATAACCATGCACACTCATATCTGAGGACAATTTTAGAGAAACCAGTTAATAAAATCAACCATATTTTTTGGAAGTTATTCCCAATGGAATTGGACCTCGGAAGGTCTCAAAGCAAGGCAATAGTGCCACCATGCAGCCCCAAAAATCAATCACAAATTGTGAATCATTGACATGCAGTTCAAGATTTTCAAAGTGCAATCAGGTTACAAATTTTCATGTAATGTTGGGTAGCAGAGTTTCCATGTTAGAAACTAAATGAGACGTAAGAAAATGGGCTTGGACAGTGAGCAAAATAAATACAGACAGTTGTGATCCGGTTCTCCTACACATACCCCAGACTTTTGTGAATGAAAGGAAATGTTTGAAAAGTGTGAATGAGTATATTTTGTCACCACATTCTGCACTGTAAAACTGTGTTTTACTTGTCTGTTGTTTCAACATTTTTATTTTCTTTCAGTCTGAAAAGCTAATAATAGATTTGTTGAGAAAAAATTTGAATAAATAGTTTTAACAATACTAGTAATTCATCTTATGTTGACCTTAGAGGTCAGTCAGGCTGGTGAGTGGAATAAAATGTTTGATTCGTCTGTGTTTCAGTCCCTTCAGTCTAAGTGCTGACCAAGTTGCCCTCCACACCATGTTTCAAAATCATTTCTGATTGATTTTAAATAACATTCTGGGATTTTCAGAGTTTGTTTCTTGATTTTCACTAATTCAACATGATAAAATAAAGTCCTCATCAGTCAGCAGAGTTTGTTTCTGGTTTTCTGTTTCCACTTGGGTGGATTTAGGATTCAGTTAGCTGAAGAATCAAAGTCACCACAGTCCCACCATGTTTGACAGTCAGTATGATATTCCTCTTCTTGAATGCTGTGATAATTTACAGGAAATGCAATCAGTTGTACACTTTTCAAAAAGTTCCACTTTTTGAAAAGTGTTTATTTTGTTTATTGTTTCCACAGAATATTTTTTCCCATAATTTGGGATTCTCAAGATGATCCTGGGCAAATATTAGACAAGTGTTTTTTGTTTTTTTTTTTGCTTGTGGCCTTGGAAACTTCCTGCTGATGACATTTTTGCCTAATCTCCTTCTTTTTGTTGACTCATGCACATCAAGCAAGTGATGCCTGTAGTGCTTTAGATGCATTTCTGGGTTTTATTAGCTTATTCATGAGTCATCAGTGCTCTCTTGGAATAATTTGAATAGGCCAGACACTTATGTTCCATGTTTTCTCCATCTATGGATAATAGTGGTTCTAGTCACTCTGGTTCACTGGAGTTTTAGAAATGACAAGCTCCTTCCATCCTAATATTGTTTCTTGACTGTTCTTAAATTTCTTACGTTTATGTAACACTTTTTCTATTTAACATTCGTATCTAACAGGTCTGGGTGTGGCCAGTGAAGCTGAACAAAAAATATTTTCAGATAATTTATGCCTTTTTGGCCGCAGTTACTTTCTCACATAAAGTTTTTGATAACTTTTATCCTATTAAGGTAGGAGATCATCATTTAAAGACTACATGTATTTAGTCTGAGCATCTTTGATTTTTTTGATGATCAGAAATGTTAGAGTAAAAGGAACCTGTTAAGGGTAAATATCATTTTACACAGCACTGTAAATTAGTTGAGTTTTACCGTGAAGTGAACTTAGAGCTAGTTAGTAGTAATGGTGAACTGACACACCACTGATTTTTGACAGAGAGGTTGACCGTTCATCTTTTAAGCTGAATCAACCCGCCAGGTTTTACAGTGCAGACTGCATCGCCCTCCCATCACGATGATGTTATACAGTCCCATCCCGTCCTCCGTGCATCCCTGCAGCCCTCTGGAGGAGCGAACCCCCTCTCCGCCTGCTCCTCATCAACCGTGACGTCAGGGCGGTGAGGCACGGGGGAGTTGTCCTCGCGCCGGAGCCCGGTGGATGCTGCTGAAACAAGATGGCTGTGCGCGCAGGAGGAGCAGCGGCGGAGAGCTGAGGCAATGCAGAGGAGGAAGCAGAGGGGGGGCGAGGAATCTACTCCTGTCTGTCCTGTCCGGTCTTCAAAGGAGCAACAGTCCCGCAGAAGGACAGACGAGTCTCTCTGAGATGGTGTCAGTTTGTTACTGCCGTTGCCGGTCAGGGTAACGGGTTTCTGTCGCTTTGAGTTTTTCCTGTGGCCAAGACTCTATAAAGAGGACTGACTAAACAAGCCGCGGAGCACTAAGTAAAGGACAGCCGGGGACGCTCACGCCGCTTTCAGAGATGTCACTGCTGTGTGTGGGAGGTAAGGAAGGAAACGAGTGAAATAAACCGTGCGTGTGTGTGATGTTACTGAAGTGTTACCTGCTCACGGTTTAACTGCAGCAGTAGTCCCCGACAGTGCTGACTGTCAGCTGCCTGGAAAAAGTGTTGTCCGAGCACAGGAGGCTCTTTGCTGAATGGTCATTTAGAAAACATAGCAGCTCCTAACGCGTTTTTGATGGTAGGAGACTTTTGACTGAATATTTTATTGAATGGTGCGTTTTGTTTTCATTCATTGTTGGGACCAAAAATGTATTTATTTATTATTTTTTATATTTTTTTAAATGGCATTTTGAAGAATGGTACAATTATGAGCTAGTAACATCGTGCGAGCGGCTGTTTCCTTTCCGGGTGCTGTTAGTTAGCTCTGTTGCGGACAGTGCGCGCGCGCGCGTGTATGTGTAAGTGTGTGTTTCATCCACTCATTCATGCGTGGGCAGGAGGAGGAGGAGGACGAGGAAAAGCCCCTGCTGCACCGCTCCCCTGCCGCTACCTCACCGCGCGCACCGCTCCCTTGCCGCTCACCTCTCCCCTGTGCCGCTCTGCCGTACCGAGGGAAATACTGGCGGCAGGAGGTGCAAGTCTGTGGCAACCCCCGACGCCCACCCCTTCAGGACCACTCCGCGTCTTCCCCTAAAATGCCATGCGTCACCTCCTCCCACCACACGCCCAAAATGCACTTGATGCTGTCACTGTAGCCTCTTATTAGTCGGATGAATAAGCATAGCTGGCGAGGTAACGTGACGGAGTCCACGTTTAGGACTAGTGAAAGGGCGGAGAAAGACCTAAAATGGGAGATTCTCTCCCACAGTATTCTCTAGCACGTTTCAGAGAATTAAAAAAAAAAAAAAAAAAAAAATCAGACTAAGAGCTGAATCAGCAACAAACGCTGAGACAAGTGGCAAGAGAACAAATATAAAGAGTCAAGAAGATATATATTTTAGTTTAAAATAGCCTTCAGCAAATCCCCATCTCTATTTGTAGATATGTTTCGAGTCAGTAGTAATTCTTATGGTATCATAACTGTAGAGATACTTCTATACGATAAATTATAATGCTTTGACTGTTATAATGAAAAAACGTAATTGTGATAAGAGTTAGTCACCCGTTATTAATAATCATAAACTCTTCATCCAACATGTGGCACGGGGGCCATTTGCTGCCCTTGGAAGAATTATGTGAGGTCCGTGACTGTAGACAGTAAACGAAGCTGATGCAGACGCACACTTTTATTTTCTATTTACCTTTATCTTGTTAAGGAAAGTGTTAGGTACACAAAGTATAACTCATTTAAGAGAAATGTTTTGTTTTTTGAAGAAGCCAATAATTTTATTTTTAAAGTAATCAAGTAACATTTTACTCAAAATCAGAGTTTGGCAGAGTTAAACTTATCTAAATACAGCAAGTGTTTCTGAGGATAGACTATGTAATAAACAAAAGGCATTTTCTGCGATACCAAAAAAGAAAAAAATTGACCCAAAAAGTTTGAAAATTGTATATATTTCTCTTACATGAAGGCAAACAAAACTCTGCGGGTGCAAAACAAAAGAATTCCCAAAGAAATTATAGGTTTTTTATTGAGTACCTAAAACTTAGTGATTTTGCCCATGGTATACATTGACAACGGTTGCAGACATCGGCCTTCTGCTGTCTCTGTCTTGGTCTGTAAATAAATCATTCCAGAGTTGACAACCTCACAGTGAAGACTGGGGTTGCTAAGGCAAGATTTTGCCCTTGTTTTTCTTTTTTTTAAAAACAATTTTCAGTCTACCTTTTTATCATGGATTGTCCTAAAAGGAGAAGATCAGGTGGAAATAACAGCGGTGGCTGGGTACTTTAAGTCCCAGTAAAAAGCCATTTCAGTGAACAAGAATGAGTTTGACCTAGGGCAAATGAAATTCATTTCCTTGCTTTCCAGTAGCAAGCTAAAAAAGGTGAACAAATGGGCTTGCCTCTCTAAAAATAGTGCTTCGAGTTACTGTAGTGCGTTTGAATTGCTCTTTCTCATATTAAGCTCACATTTACATCTAACAAATGTAAATGTTAGATTTCCTATCCTCCGTTAGTACAGAGGATAAAATCTGAAAACAATATCAACTTGCATGTGATAACAACTATTGATCCAGCAAACCTACATGACTGATACAGAAACAATCTGTATGTACACAAGCTGTAAAGATCAATTGAGCTTGCAGCAATCTTTATAAAAGCTAAAACAAAATTTAAAGGCTTTTTTTTTTTTTTAAGTCGTGATACATCCGGTTGCTTAATAGATGGTGCTCCACCTCAGCCTGTCCCGACAGTTCCACCCACTGACTGTCCCTGCTCTGAGTCACTCCCAGATGTCATTAAAAGACCCTGAGAGTCATTCATTCATAAACGCTGGCTGCTGCAGACTACGAGGCTTGGCAGAGAGCCCTCTTTCTGTTCTGCTTACATCATTCATGCTTACCTGGCTCGAGCTATTTCTGGCCTCCACGGCAATTTGTGCCTCCTGAATAGGCAACGTTGGCATATCTGCCAGCCAAGCAGATTTCCGGCACAGACGCATATTCAATCTGAGCAATTTTTGGCAACCTTTTCCCACTTTAACGTCCGGCCTTCTTATTGTCTTTCTTTCAGAACACAAAGTCACAGTCTGATGTCGCTGTCAGCAGCTGGATTACTGCTTCTGTCTCGCGATCTGTCAGAATAAGGTTCCGTCTGTCTGAATGGAGGCATCCCTCTTTTGTGTCACGAAACAGCTGAAGTCAGCTCCTCCTTTTTCCAGTCTATCTTCCCTGACAGTTCAAGATGAAGGCTCTGCTTGATTTCCTGTTCAGTCGGTTTTCTTGGCAATAACCAGCCCGTCCCCATAAGTCAGACTGTGCTGTCTTTGGAGGTAATTCCTGAATGAAGTTAACGCAGTATATTTATTTACTGCAGGTACTTTTCGGTTATTGGCAAAGTTGTTTCATCTTAAAACTAATTTGTAGCGTTTACCTAAATTTTTCCGACTCCACAATGTTTGTACCAAAATGCCTTGCTAGATTTATTTTGATATAGTGTCTGTTGATGTTTCAGAGCTTGAGAAGTTGATTTAGAAGCAGAACATTCATAATCAGATCCGAATGCACTCAGGTTGACTCTGTTTGCAATTAGGTATCTTCTTAAAGCAATTAATTACACTTTAATTTATTCCAAAGTTACATAGTGAAGAGAACTGAATACAAAAGCTTGCTATCTTTTTCAGATTGTTATTTGCATGCGTGTTAGAAACCAAACACTTTCTTTTCACATCATAATTATCAACTAGTGACACATAAAATCTCAAAAAACGTAATGTGAAGTTTGTGTTTGTTGCAAAAGAAAAAGTTTAAGGGCTCCGAATGCTTTTACAACACTCTTTACACTGTATCTATATCTATATGTCTTATTTGTTGTGAACATGCAGAGCTTCCCTCAAGGTTGCTGAGGCTGAATGAAAGCAGCGATTATGTAATTTTCATCCTTGCTGCAGGTGCACAGCAAAGGAGAGAGCCACTGCATTTAGCATGTGACTCCATCATGAGGCAGCATGGCAGAAGCTGCGGGTTTATCTCCAGCGCGTGCTTGGTACTCGAAAAAAAAAGGCTTGGAAAATAGAAAAGTACCTTGCTGACTCAGGCCAATTGTGCTTTTTCACTTTGTGTTTGTTACTATGGTGATTGGTTATGATGTCAGAATTGTACATGTAAGAAAATTTTGAGTTAGGTTATAATTTGTGCTGCTGGTAGATTTCTAAAGATAGAAATGCTCAGGGTTTTTTTATGTACCACAGAGAACTTTTATGTCTTATTCTGTAAACATGTGCATGTTAGGCATCCACACATCTGCAGCGAGGTGTGTGTGTGTGAGGACCTCCTAGAGTGTACGTGGTTGAGAGTAGTGGGTAGTGGAGCATTAAAAATGCATGTGTGAGTTACGTCACGGCTGGTAAAACAGTGCTGCAGAGAGGGAGCCCACAGAAAAATCCACAGGCAGATACTGTTTGATTTAGACTGGAATATTTGCCTTTAAAGCTAGGAAAAGAGAGAAATTTGTTCCAAACGCATTAAATAATAAATACAGAATAATAAACGTCTCTATGGATGAATAATTAATGTGAGATGAGCATGTTGTTGTGTGTGTTTTTTTTAAACTTTTCATAGCACATTGAAATCCATGTTTAAGCACTGGTTATGGTTTCTCGTTTGATCTAAGTTGTAGAAACATCAGAGCCAATAAAGAATCATATTTTCAGTCAGCATTTGCATAACTGACTGCACTCCTCACACACACTTATGTAATGCTGAGTGTGCTTGGTGACCTCTTCCTCTTTGTGATGATGGATAATATGTATATTTTTCATATATACTCATTATGTTATATATGAGTTGCTTAGTATGGACAAAAGGTACCTTTATGACAATATTTTTTTGTTGCTGTCACTTGTCAATATTTTCCATATTGGAATGGACTGCTTGAACAGCAAAACATAACAGATATTCATACACGATCCAGATGAGATGTTTCAGTACGTAGAGCAGGTACTTAAAGAAGTACTTTCTTAAGTACTTATTGCAGTGAACAGTTTGCTTCTCACAAGTTAACTTGCAGAAATGAACTGAAATTATATGTCTGAAGTTAGTAGTTAGTATTTCACAGCAATATGATGCAAGTAAAAAAAATGTAAAGACATTTTGCAATGCAGCCAAAGTTATTCTGTTCTATTTAGCTCTGTATATGTTTTTTTATTATTTTCAACTTGTTCTCAGATTTTAAGTGGTTCGCTGATGCTGTGCTAATAAATATTTTTGACTACTTTTACAAAGTGTCTTGATACACCATGAGACTTTTTATATTTTCATAAAACTCGTGATATTTTGCTGAGATTTTGTGAGATAGATAAACTATAAATTTGTGGATAAATGTAAGGTTGAAAGAATATTACATTTTTTTTCATCTTGGTTCTTTTTTCTGGTTTGATCATTTCCTTTCCTTGTTCACTTACTTAGATTTTTCCTTTTTTCATTCCTTTGTGTGTTTAATTCTTGATTTACTATTGTGCAATTAGATTTAGGTTCTTCTTTCTGTTGCTGTTTGTTAGTTTCAGGGTTTTCCTATGTTATATTTTCTCCCTTCCTCCTGCCCTGCTTATCTTCTTCCTTCCCTCAGGCTGACTCTCCTCTCAGGACAGCTTTTTTTTTATCTCCTCGTCTCGTCTGTGCTTATGTTTTCCTTGCAGCTGTTCCTCATTCCCTTGATTACACCTTTTGCATATATACCAATCTGTTCCCTTTTGTCTTTGTCTGATTCTCCCTCCTGTTAGCCCTGTGTTTTTCTCCCTCGAAAAGTTTTTGCTGTAAGCGTTTTGTAACTCTCTTTATTAAATTGGTCGCTCTGAGTCTTCCACTTTCCCCTCAGTATTTTAATCTGATCCCTGCGCTTCACATGTCAGGGAGACATTAATATTCAGCATTCTTAACACTCCTAAAGAGAAGCATTCCCCACAGCATGATGCTGCCACCACCATGTTTTTATTGTGATCAAGATGATGCTATCACATGTACAAATCGTTTATCACATTTAGGCCAAAAAGTTAGGTTTTGGTCTCATCTGATTAGAGCTCCTTCTTTTACACGTTTCCTTTGACTTTACACTACTTTAACTAGGACTCCTAACATGTTTTTCTTTTTTTTTAAAGATGATTTTCTTTTTGCCACTCCTCCATGAATGCTAGATTTTGGTGTTTAAACTTTTGTCCCTGTTTACTGATGACCTCTGACCTGAGAGAGCTTCACAGAGCAGCTGGATTGTCTGAAGGCAACTGGTCACACAGGATTTTATTTAGGGGTATCAAAACAACACATGATCACACATACAAAATGCATGCAACACTTCTCAGATATTTATTTTGTAAAATATTCACTAAAAATCAAATTAAACAGAAGAAAGTTGTCATGTGACAAAATGTGAGAAAATTGAATTGGCACTATTCATCAGATTTTTTAAATTTTCTTCTAATGAAAAGGTTTTGTTTCAATGTTCCACATGTCGCCTTGACTGCTATTTTAGTACATTGCAAACCTCCTTGGTTCGCCCTCTCTGTATGAAAACAGAAGACGTGAGCATGAAAACAGATGGTGTTCCTGTGTGTCACCATGTCCCTCTCTGTGTTCCCACAGTGAAGAAAGCCAAGCTGGATGGACCCCAAGGTAAGGCCTAGGTTTACCGAAATAACGGGAGGAGGCGCATAAGGAATATGTGTTTTGTTTGTGGCTAGATCTTTTTGGAAAAGAGTTAGCAATCGTGTCAGCGAACAGAATGTATATTCGACAGTAAAAAAAAACAGATTTATTTTCTCCATCGGACATTTTTTGTTCTTCTCTATGTCTTTTTCTCCCCTGCAGAAAAGTTTAACACTTATGTGACTCTAAAAGTGCAAAATGTGAAGAGCACAACCATCGCTGTCAGGGGCAACCTGCCTTGCTGGGAGCAGGACTTCATGTTGTGAGTCCTTCCGTATCCTCTCTCTCTCACACACACACACACACACACACACACACACACACACACACACATGCACGCACACACACACACCCCTTCATCACGAGCCTCTTCTCATTCACCCGTCTTCTACTTCTCCCTCCACTGCTTGATTTCTATCAGCTTTCGTTGCTCTTTCTTTCCACTTCTTCATCCTAAGTGCTCTTTATCCCTGTATTGTTTCTCGCAGCTCTTCCTCTCCACCTTCATCAGCTGTCTCCTGCTCTTTTTCATCTGATACTTCTGCCTCTCTCTCTCTCCCTCTCTCTCTCTTTCTCTCTCTCTCTCTCTCTCTCGTTCTTAACTTTGGCCTCCTTCCACCCCTTCTTTTCTCTTCTCTGTCACTGCCCCTCCCTCCATTCCCTCTCTGCAGCTTTCTTCTCTAGACTAGATATTTCTCTTTTGATATATTTTTTTATTTATTTCATCTTATATTTCCACAGATATTGAATGGTATCTCGTTGCAGGCGCTAATATTACACAACAGTGAATATCTGGCTGCTGGAGTGATTCAGTGTTGACAGTGTAGCAGCATATGGGCGGTGAAGGGTGAGAATCATTTAGCGGGATGTGGGCTGCAGCAGGCAGGATTACTGCGGAGTCCTCTGCATCTGTATGATGTTTGGAGGCGTGCAGCATTGTACTGGGGTTGCATCAGTGGAACTGTGTTATGTAACATTTGGGCTACAGAGAGGGACTCATGTTCTCCCTCAAACTGGCTCGCCCCCCCCTCCTCAGCCACTGCTTTAAATCATACTTCTCTTACAGAAAAAAGGAGTAACATTGATATAGGGAGTCTACTCCCTTTACTTCTTAATTAAACTTCCCTCTTTGTCCCTCCAGGCAGGCGATACAATCACCTTTTCCCTCCCTCCCCTTAGTCATCACTCCTTCATCACTTTCCAACTTTCTCTCTGCTGTCTAATATAGGATTTATATTGGACTGCTGTAGATTTGCTCCAAACACATCAGCCTGTATGTTAGCCACAGTAAAAATAAAAAATAGGGTGGATTCACACAACTGACACATTTGGTCCGCTATAAATGGAGCAGACTTTGTTTGGACATATTGTGCAGGTGTAAATGCACTCATCCTGGTGCGGACCAAACAACTGGAGCGAGACCCACTTTCTGAGAGTAGATCCATGTGGAGGTTTAATAAAATCCAGAGGAAAAGTCTTTAGTTGCATCATAGCAATCAAACCCTTTTTACTCGTTGACCAGCTGCTTCCATGTTTCTACTTCTGTTTTGATTATTTATTTTGTCAAATTTAAGCTTTAATGATATCCTAATATTTTTACATTTTTTGTATTTATTTATTTTTCTCTTGAAGTGAAATCAACCGGCTGGACCTTGGCCTGACAGTGGAGGTGTGGAACAAAGGGTTAATCTGGGACACCATGGTCGGCACCGTGTGGATTCCCCTCGGTAGCATCCGACAGTCAAATGAGGTTCGCCATGACCACCGCTGCATTCTTCAATGGTTTGTGCAATTTTCCCCCGGCCCCCCTGCATTACCTGCAATCTTTGTGTACACAGGAAGGTCCTGGAGAGTGGCTCACGTTGGACTCTCAAGTCATCATGGCTGACAGTGAGATCTGTGGAACCAAAGATCCCACTCTGCACCTGGTGCTGCTTGATACACGCTTTGAACTGCCACTAGGTGAGACTACCAAGTGTGGGTAGAGTAGCAAGAATTGTTCTCACAAAAGAACAGCATTGTTTAAAAGTAAAAAGCATAGTGCAATATGTTTTTTGTAGTAGTTATTATCTACGTCTGCTCAGTGAAATCACTTGGAGTGAGTTTGGAACAAATAAATTATACTTGTCTGTATATTTTCAGTGCAGACAGTGACAAATGAGCAGCAAAAACCTGCCTGATTAATTACCCTGACCCACTTTTTAGTTGTATAGTTTGCACCAGGAGAAGTGTTTGTGTCCTTTTTCTTCTCGGTGATCAAGCTGAGTTCCTCTTAGCATTGATTAGGTGTCATTTCTATCCTGTTTCCTCTTCCTCTAATCAATAATGTACACCTGACTCCTCAATATGCACATCCTGCCTATTTATAGAGAGTTGGCTCTGAGACTGTAAGCAAAACAGGACAGTTTTAAATATAGAGTTGTGAGGTCAAGCCAAAGCATCTAGAGCTGTATTTTTGTTGTTTAAAAAAAAAAAAAAAGACCATCAGAACCAGGCCAAAGTATAATTACAGCTGATGTTTTTCCACCATGTTTCAGTGTTATCTGACAGGTGATTTTGTGTGGGGTTATTCAAAGGGTTTCAGTTGGATGAGCCTTATTTTTGAGAGATTTTGTCACCTGGAGTTTGACCGAATGATTGTTTTCAGATATCCCTGAGGATGAGGCGCGCTACTGGGCCAAAAAACTGGAGCAGCTCAATGCCATGAGGGACCAAGATGTGAGCTGCCAGCCTGTTTGTTTTAACACCCCCAAATAATCCTGCAGTGCAGGCACAAGCCAGAGAGCAGGTTGCATCATACTTGCTAAAATCCTCATAACGCTTTCTTCACCTTCCACAGTGCTTTGCATAAATATTGATACCACTTAAACCTTTTCTTGACTTTCTGTAATTTGGAAAGAAAATTAGTAGCACTTTCTTTTGAAATGTCATACAAGCATGCTCAGCTTTTCCAGTTTGGAAATATTCTGGGATGCATTCTTGTTGATCCATTTCACAGTTAATATAAAATCCCAACAGAATAAATTGAAAGATGTAGACGAAATGTGAGAAAGGCTATTATTTTCCAAGATACTGTGTGCATAGCTTTATATATGACACATATTTTTGTGATCCTCAGCCAACTTCGTGTTTAACAGTAAGTTTTCATCTGTTCTGCTTCTGTCAAATGAAGTACTCATACCAGGAGGAACAGGAACGCCCTCTCCGTGTGCCGGGAACCCAGTGTTGTAAGTAACCTGCAGCTGATTGTACAAAACTGAAAATTATCCATTTACGTGTAATTAGATTGCTTTAACTCAGCCTCTGGTATTATGTTTGGCCACACATGGGTTGCTGTGCGTTAGAGGGGAAACAGGTCTTGTTCGCTGCACCATAAAGGATCAATAATCCTATCAAATGTCTGGAGTCAAGCTCCTTGAGATTGCCTGTGTTTTTCTGCTGTTGGTCCAGTCTGTGGAGTTCGCTGAGCCAGCTGTCTGAGGCAATTAGAGAGACTCTTTCCATTCACTGCCTGCATTGGGGAACATTGAAGCACCGATGGCGGGAATGCATGTTGGGAGTATGAGTACCAGTTCAGGTCAAGATCAATACAAACTCTCTCCTGTTTCTCTGCAGGTAACTGGAGTCTGTGGGGAGATCAGCAAAGTAAGTGCACCGTATTCTGTACTCAATGTTTTTCATCTCTAAATGAATATTTTTTTCATGGTCTTCTGCAATGTGCAACATAATCTGTTGACTTAGAAAGGGCTTTCAGGATGCCTCGTCAGGGTCTGACGTTCTCTGTTAATTAGATAAATCGTTACAAAGTAAAAGTCTTTTCTTTATCGCTTTTATTGCCTCACTCCATCTGAAGAATAAGTAGCAGCGATACGATTCAAAAGTAGATGCTAATTGTTGGCATATGTTGGACTTGATGGACATTCACAAGCAGATTGTACTGCTTTGTGAATTTCCACTAAAGCGATTCAGAAGATATCTGATTAAATAATGCCTATTGAATACAGATTTATTTATTTATTTATTTTTTGATAGTTACGCAAATGCCTTTACCTACATTTCGGCCACTTATGGTTGTGAAAAATGGTATTTATTCTCCAGTTTTCACTTTATTTGATTAAACATCGAGTAGATTTAATTTTACGGGTGATTTAAAAGGAAGACAAGAAGACGCTTATAAATATTTCTTGCTCTGCCACAGTCAAAACAGAAAACTTCATAAATCTTATGCAAAAAATGTCTGCTTTTCTCTGTCATTTCCCCCATTGTTGTGATCAGCGGATAGTGTTACATAAGTGCCTGTCAGACTCACCCACACAACTGCAGCTATTCATTTCTGTTAACTCAGAGGAAAAAAGAAAGAGCAGGGGGTAATGATAGACATTGAGCAGATTAAGTTTCTCACACATAGAGAAGGAGAGAGAGAGAGAACGATGCATGCAGGACCAGGGATGATATCTAAAACTTAGTCCGATGCCTTTTTAGGAGTCAGCAGTGGAACAGTCACAGACGCCATTTGGCTTTCAGAGTGCCAAAGACGAGGATTGATTATCATAAATGATTAATAGATCACCAGTTTGGCTTTTGACTGCTTCACTCTGTACAATTGTATTAGCACTTTCCTCTGGGTCGGTAATTGTTGATCTATGAACACAACAGAAAAATAAAGCATCTCTTTAGCAAGCGCATCAACTTTATGTTCGTCATGTGTTTTACGTGTGAATGTTCTCTGTATGAAGGATTCTCTTTCCAGTTTGGAAAATATTTGTTCATTCATTCTTTTCTCTCTTCCTTCTTTGCTCTGTCATTTGCTTTCTTTGATATTTAAGGCATATCGACTGCCATAAATGCATTGTGAACATTTATTATCTTAACCCTTTCATGCATAGTGGTCACTACAGTGGACAGCTATCTAAAAGCCATTTTCTTGTGCTTCTTGTGGATTTCTATGTCATAAATGCACACAGACCACTGAAGTGGACACTAATGCATCATAAAATACACCATCAACTACTGACCATCAGCTGGAAATGCAAGAAATATTTTTTGTTAAATCCAATATAGCCGACAGAAAAAAAAAGCATGCCGACCGACCCGGTCCCTCCTTCTACTGTAGACGACTCTGGCAGGTAAAAAAAATATTGTGACATCAGATAACTCATAAAGAACAATACTACTGATGTATTTTTCAAATAGCAACTTTGTATTTGGAGAAATTTACAATTTATCACCTAAAAATAAATAAATAAGTAAATAAATAAATAAATAAATACAAATTTCCTACCTTTTTTATGCCTTAAGAAAATCCCCAAAAAAATTGGAAAAAAAAAACCTGACACAGAGTATCATAATTCATGCATGAAAGGGTTAAAATAATTGTAAAGGACTGGAACTCTGGAAACTTGAGTCCTGAAAAGTCTGAAATTTTTCATGAATAATGTGTAGAGGGTTCAATTGAGAAAGCGTGCCAACCAGTCAGAATCGGAAAGAATGGTTCGATTGGGATTAAACTCTTTTTTTCATCTTCACCGTTATTATCACTTCCCTCTGCCTTTTATTTCTGTGTGTTTGAGTAGACGAGGACCCAGACAGCGCTGTTGACGACAGGGACAGCGACTACCGCAGTGAAACCAGTAACAGCATTCCACCTCCTTACTACAGCACGTCCCAACCCAACGCCTCCGTCCACCAGTATCCCATCAGCCACCAGCATCGCAGCTCCAGAAGCTTGTCGTATCCACGCTCCGGGAACAACCAAGATCTCGACTACCACCATCAAAGGACAATCAGGTTTGCGTCTTTCTTATTTAATCACATGTACTTTCATTATAACGTTTGTCTTTGCCTGTGAGAAAGGAAATCTTTTCAGTTACCAAAATGACTAAAAGTTTGGTTAATAATTTGAAATGCAAAGTTTTGCAGAAAACATTCAGATCTGAGCTGCAATCAGGGAGGAGACTCCCACCATTCCTTATTTAATACTTGGCTAAATGCTTTACTTTTAAAAAAGAAATTAAATAATTATGTTTTATTTCATGTTTCCATCAAGTTTTTCTTGATGGAAACACTTTTGATTTTTCTCTCTGATTTGCAACATGATACCTTGGTCTTAAGATTTATGCAAATATACATTAGTGGTTTTTCTACTTAATGACTGAAAGCGCATTCAAAAATAATAAAAAATAATATTTCACTGCTTTATAGGCTTCAGTCAGCTTAAAATTCAGGTTGAACCAGAGCGTTGTTCCTTAAAATTTGTTTGGTCAAAAGTGCAAAAAAGTGCAATTTTTTTAGCTATTTTCTACAAACTAAATAATTTTCACAAATTTTACTTTAATTAATTTGCATTGTTGGTCACTTAATTTCTTATTTAACAAATAGATTCAGATTTTGCAATAGGTATTCCAGGTGGAGAGATTTTTTTTTTTATCAATAAGGGTGTTAGAAAGTTTTATTTATACATTAATTTGAAAGCATTGAAAAAGTTAATTTTTGGTGATGTCAAAAGTGCATTTTGCTCAATATACTTCTACGACCATGACCTCCAAACGGCTCTAGAAGGAATGTCAATGAAAATATTATTTAGATACACAAAAAGCTATTTTTAACGTTACAAAAACAGCTGAATGGAGTTCAGTCAAAAATGAGCTTTACAGTTTCCACCTGTGTGTCCAGGTGACACAACTGAGCCTGGTTCCAATTAACAAATCCAACGGATTTATGACATAAAACCTTATGATGTCTGTTCACTGGTCAACTTTTCGTTAGCCCACCCAGACTGGTTTCTGTTTCCTTCTTAGTTATTTTCGGAGCTGTGTGATTTCTCAGCGTTTATTGATGGGTTTTTCTCTCAGACAGTGAATGAAAATATGCATCCACCTCTCGCTCCATGAATAATTCAACTGGCAGTCTAACGGTCAATACGGCACATAAGATTAGCTGCTTGTGTGAGTGTATTGGACAGGGGCTTCCCCCCTCTCTCCCCACACCTCCTCCTCTCCATCTCATCCACTCAGCTCTGTGCGCACCCTCCCTCTCTACCTTTCTTCCTTCTGTTTTGTACCCACTGCTGCCTCCTTATCTTCTCTATCATCTTCCTTTCTCTCTATGAGCCTGTGCTCGGTTTTTTAATAACCCCCATTCATCAAGACATATAAAGCTAGTTTTTTGTTGTTGTTTCATTTCTTGATATTTCCTCCATTTTTTCTTTGTCAGCTGTCCAGCAGCATATTTCTGCTCTGCTGTGTTTCTTGCTGCTTGTCTGGTACCCTTTTACTTCCTGTGTTTTCATTGATTAGCCATCAGCAGTTCTCTCCACTGCTCTGAGATGCGCATAAAAGGTGTTTAGTGGGGAGCACAGCGTACCGACCACAGTGCGTCAATGCAGCGCTCAATAATCATTTCTGACGTTACCCTCATAAAGAGGCTGACTGTTTACTACATGTTACTGCATTCTAACTTTTCCTTGCTGTCGTCTGTCTGCCTTTCCAGCCCTACTGGAAGCTATGCGTCTTCTGCAGAGCTCAGCCGGTGCAGCAGCCAGCTCAGTGAAGAAGACTACGGAGGAGAGTACGGGGAGAGGGACCCGTACGACGAGAATGACTCATACCACTCCTGCCACTCCTCTGTCAGCTACAGCAAAGGCTCCCCTGACTGGGACCCCGATGAGACCCAGGGGGCGTACAGTGATGAGGGCGGCTACAGCAAAGACGGAGGAGAGGAGGTCGCGCTCTACGAGGGAGATGACGGCGAACTGTATGAGGGGGAGGAGGAAGGTCTGTATGAGGATGAGGAGATGATGTATGATGATGAGGACTTGTACAACCTGGACGGGACCCTCAGTGAGGACCTTGAGCCGCCGTTCACTCCCACTCCAACATCAACCGTTCCGCCGATGCTTGAAGTGCCCAACTCCAGGCCTCCTCTGGAGAAACAGTCCTCTATACACCAACAGCCCCCAGGTAAAACGCCCAACCAAACGTCCAATCAGGCTCAGCCTCCCACAGCACAGCCCCCTGCTGCCCAACAAGCGGCCCAGCCCCCCAAACAACCCCAACCCCAGACACAACCTCAACCCCAAGCAGCCCCGTCTGCCACGTCCTTCTTCTCAATGGCCAAACCTCTGACAGCTGCAGTCACAGGCCTGGCTTCTTCGTTCCTGTCATCGGTTCCCGCTGCCCAGCCTCCGCAGGCCCACCCACCAGCGTCAGCCGTTCCTCAGCAGCACCAGTCTCCTCCAGCAAACTCTGTCCCTCCTTCACACCCAGCCACCCTGGCTAATTCGGCACCCCAGCCGCCCTCCACTGCCACTGGTCCTCCATCCCAGCAGCCCCCGCACTCCGCGGTGCCACAATCACACGCCAACGATCCCGCTGCCACACAGCCAGCCAGTCTCGAGGATGTTGCACCTCCGATTGAGGAAGAGTGGTTAGAAAACGAGATGATGGAGGAGAAAGAGGTCAGTACTCCCCCTGCTCAGGAGGAGGAGAAGCTTCCTGCAGAGCAGAAAGAGGAGCAGTATGAAGAGAGCAGACCGCTGACACCAGAAGAGCAACAGGAGGCTCCACCTGAAAGGTAAGAAATGTTGGGAATGGAAATGAAACTGATAAACTGAAATGTCAACAGATGACAGCAGTGTCTAGATTTGTGTCCGTTTAATAGGGGTGGGCAATAAGGACTTAAAGTTTTATCACAATATTTTGTGGTACTATTGTGACAGAAATAAAAGTGACAATAAAAACTATTTATTCCTTCTTGTTTTGGAACCTGTGTGGCTCTGACTGCATAACACAGCAATCGTAGCCCCACAAACAGATTCTGCTCTTGAAAAAACACACCATTTATTTGCTTCTTTTGGATACCAATCACATAAAAGTGTGATTTTTATCACTAAGCTACACACAGACAATTCAAGTAATTATATTTTTTAAATTGTTATTATTTATCAGTCTCATGGAACAAACAGTGGAGAAACAAGTACAACTAATAATCCTGACGATCCAGATAGTTTGGGAGGGTTCAAACAGCATTAATGGGACTTTATTGTGACAACAATAAATATTTTTTTTATGAAATTTGAAATTTATGATGATAAATGATACAATAAGTGCCCACCTCTTAATTTTTTTTCAACTGAATTAAATTCAAAGCAATTTTCAGAGTAAACCCAAGATTGATTGGGAGTATAGATAAAGTAAGATTTTAGGAGCCTGTCAGCAATCAGTAATCACAGCTCAACTAATATCCTCTTTGTATCAATCGTATTAAAAAATTAACGCATTAAATATTTAACATAACCATTAATACAGTCTACAAGAATGTAATTTCAGATGTGTTACATATACACTGACTGGTTGAGTTTCGTTAGAATAAAATTGTTCGTTGGTAGAGAAGTTTGTTGCATTTAGAGCTGATTAGTTTTGATGAACAGCCAATATTGTGAGCAGCAATTTTGTCAAAACTCCTAAATATCTCATTGACAAAGAGCATATTTCACTATCCTTCACTCTCCCTTTTCATGGCTCTTTTGTCTTACTGCAGCCCGAGCACCACGCTACGGTGCACTATTGCTTTTTCTTACTATTACATATAAAATATCCTTCCTTTAGTCCTCCAGTACCAGAGGAGCCGAAGGAGCCAGTGGATCCAGCAGCCAGAGCCAAGGAGAACTGGCTCAGGCTCTACAACAAGGTCTTAGACCAGCTTCGAGAGGTAAGCTCACTAATCAGCTTCCTGCTATTTTCACCACCATTCTTTCAAATTCAGTGACTCTGGACCCAGTTCTGTTGGTTTGATTCATTTAAGTATGCACCAGTTCAAGAGGCTCTACAAGTTTCTACCAAGTCTTTGAAATATTTATGCGCCGTGCAATATTGATGTGCAGGCTTGATATGTACGGCAACTTCCTGAAGTCTATTTTGATCCTGAGGTTTGCAGTTCACCAGGAAACAGACATGATGCCATATATCTTCTATAATTAATGCCTTTCAGCTTTCTTAAAATATTAATACTTGTCAAAAGGCAAGCTTTTATTTTAGTTTGGGCGAAGCACCACACAGCTTGATTTAGCTGAGCACTTTTCAGTTTTTGCTTGCTTGATTTTCACTTGCACATTTTGTTTAATCATTACATTTTGAATTCAGTTGTGCAAAGAATTAATCACTTGCTTCAATGTTCTGTTGATGTTTGTTTCTTTGCGTTTTATGTACATATGGCTTCCTTTTCCTTGTCTTTATTTTATTTTTTTTTGTTTATTTGTGCCGACCCACTTTGTTTTCTTTCCAGTTTCATGTCATTGCCATAGCGATACTCACATGCACTTTGCTCGGCCGTCATTGGAGCATGTTGACAGGTAGGTGCAGCCTGAACGTTTGCGAATCGGTGAAGTCCTAGTCCTGTCTGACATTACAGACGCTTTCATTTTGTTTATTCATCCTCATAGCAATTTGAATCCCTTTTGTTGTATTTTGCAAGAGCTGTCTCCACATTATCCTGATAGGCTGCATTTATATAAGAATTATTGATTAGAAATATAGATTATAAATGGAAGCTTTATTGCTTTGATGTTTGGGTAGCACAAGTAAGTAGCTAAAGTTTATATATGTAACATCTTACAGGTAAAAGCACAAAATATTTAGAAAACAAAACATATAAAAGTGGGTCTCAAGAAGCCATATATGATAAAACCCACTATAAAATATTCAATAAACATCTGAGATCAGAGACAAAAGCCCGTGCAGAGCCATCAAAGTCTTAAAAAGTGAAGGCTAAAATTTTAAAATGAACTTTGAAAGTCACTGCAAAAAGCCTATAGTGGGTATTTTGTTCTGTCTCTATGTTGTGGAAGTTAGAAACCTATCAACCTCATTCTTATTTAAATCCAAGAAAGTGTAAAGAGTTAAATGTATAAAATGTAATCTCCTCTTCCAGGTTTGAGACAAGACTTTAAAGATTAGAAATAGGAACCAAGACACAATGGATGAGTCAAAACTAACAACCAAGGTTTCCATAGTATGACTCTCCAGTTAAGCCCTGTTTGTCAAGGCGTTTCTTGATTACAGACTGGCAATATTTAGGGGCAATAATAAGACTTCCTGTCTCTTTAAATACAACTGTATTTTCAAGAAAGTGTTTAAAAAAACAAAAAAGCTAACATAAAGTCTTTCTGAGGCTTTGTGTTTTTAGATTTTATATGTTTTACTGTAAAGCAGTTTGTGATTCCAACTGTGAAAAGTGATTTATGACTAAAGTTACTTACTTAATGATTCTTACAAGCAGCTGTAAGCAGCTTGATTCTGGTCAGGGCATCCATCATAAACAAAGGAAAGACGTGGTATTTAGCTCCTACGATTAAAGGAGCAATAAAGCTGCTTATTGTCAGCATGACAAATATTAAAAACGTTACTATTTCTTTGTGAGCCAAACTGTATTAGACAATGAAAAGATTACATCCCAGAGTTAAACCCTGAGAAAACCTCTAGATTCAGACTTGATCTCATCGTTTTTGTCTTTTGCCTGAAAGGTATGAATGAAACCCATTTAGAACCTGACAGGATGTAATAACCATATCATGGAGCCTGTCAATTAAGCCAACTGTGTCAAAAGCAACTGCAAGACCAAAACTGTGACATTTCTGGCTCAGCCCTGTTTTTCCCTCTTTAATAGTAACATGGAAAGCAAGTTTGTAAAATCCTGAAAAAAAGCTTTGCTATTGGATTCACACAGCATAAGGGGTAAAAAAAACAAACTGCACGGACAAACTTGAAAACAAAGTTTTTCTTTGTTTGACATTATTCTCCTTGTTCTGTTTTTGCAAAGGCTCGAGGAGAGACCTCCAGCTCGCTGTGGTTTGGCAAAGGAGGGTCAGTACTTCCTACTTATTTCCTCTGTCATGTAAAATATTGTACACACAGAATTCATATGCAATCTTGACTAATATTATATCCAAAATATATAATTAAAAAAAAAATGTTTCTGTCATTAATGAAAACGATTTAATTTGTGAAAATGTGTCTATTTTTTAGATATAGATTTCTTTTTAAATTGCATCTTTTCTCTTTAATATTCCAAGTCTGGCTTCAGGTTCAACATTTTAAGCACCAGTATTTTACTATTTTCATTACCAATTATAAAATAACACTCAAACATACACAGGCCATGTCTATGAGTGTGTTTTTGGTCTTTTAGCAATTTTGAATAAAAATTCAAACCAGTGAAAATGTAGCTGTTATGTTGGGTCTAGTTTAGTATTCAAACTACTGTTTTTGAAATGTTTGCAAAAATGAAAGCCTGTCCATATTTCGCAAGAGAGAGTTGATCTAATTTAGTACAGATAATAAAAATCAGCAAAATCTTCCTTTACCACACTGTGAAATTTAAAGCTAGCTTCAGTGTTGGATTGTTTCAGACAATAAATCCCAATCAGTTCAGGAAAAATGTATCATATTCAAATGTTCAAAAGATTATTAAACAATGCAAAATGTATGGGATTTTGAAATGGAAACTGTGTAGGAATCTTTTATATATATTGCAAAGCTACTCCAGTTCTATCAGCCGGGCTATTTACACTGAAGGCGGATCTAGTTGTGAAAACTGTAGATGCCTTCTGAAGTATTAACTAGTAAGCCCAAAAAAAGCAATCATATAAAGGAATGGAGAGCTGTGATTAGTATTTGAGAGGAGGAGGCTGGGGTAATTAAATTTTCCAGTTAAGTCCTTGAGAAGTCCTCATGTTGCATAGCATTAGAAGCAGTGATTAAAAATAGATACATTAGCTTCTCAGGCTCAAACACTATTTCGTGGCTACATTGTTTTTGTTGTTTTTGACCAGCTAGAAAGAGCTGTTACCCTGTTAATGAATATATATTGATGTGGCATTGTGTTTCTACAGAATGGGAGGTGCGCTCTATAGTATTGACAGCATGCCTGACCTTCGCAAGAGAAAAGCAATTCCTCTCGTCAGAGATCTGGTGAGAAACGACAATAAAGCAAACACACAAAGCACTACATACGCCACACTTGTATTGATTAAAATCTTGAGGCAGATGGTAATACATTTTTCTTAATATTTAAAGATTTTCTATTTATATTTTATATATTTATATTTTACATACTTTATATATTTAAAGAAACAGGTTTTAATCAAAGATTTATTCACATTTAGTTATGTATTTGACATTGTGTCTTTTCACAAAATCCCAGAATCTGTTCAAGGATAATCCGTCCTCGCACCACGATGCTGCTACACCCTGCCTTAGTGTTGCAATCGTGTTTTAAAAGTGATGAGAAGTTTGCAACACATTCAGTATGTTTCTTAATAGTCAGAAACTTCAGTACCAAGTGTCAGTTTTTCTTGATTTAATAGCCCAATAAGAAACTCTTATGTAGAGGAAAGGTTTAAAAAAATAGTTCCCCCTTCACCTCGCCAACTCTGAGCGTGTTGACTTTGTCCTGTTTAGAATAGTTATGGGTTAAAAGTAAATCTTTTAATAATAGATTTTATGATACTCCATATAATGTTCAGTAACCTTAGTAACAAGTTTGTTGATTTTTTTTTCGTAACTCAGATTGTCAGTGTGCTGTTTGTTTTTAAGTGTGTCTTGCTTTATGATATTTGAACTCTGGGACTTTTTACAACAATACAAGGAGAGTTTTGTGAATATTATGATATTGAAATTATGCTCTTAACATCTGCCGTTGAAAAAGGAAAATAAAAGAAAACAATTATCTCCTTTTGTTTTTCTGTCTGTGTTTCATCATGGCCTGGGCTCATTAGGCTATGGTGAGTATTTATTTATCATTTAGCATCACCTAGAAAAACACAACAGTTGTAGATATTCAGATGTGAGTTTGTGTTATTTTGCCTCCAGTCTCTGGTGCAGAACTCCCGCAAAGCCGGAATCACCTCGGCCATGGCTTCAACCACTCTTGGCAATGAGGAGCTGGTGGGTTTTCTCTCCTCACAGCTGTTTGTCACAGTTCTCAAGATTTTCCAGTAAATTATCACTGCGGGAATAAAACTTGTCCTTTCCCCCCCCCCTCCTATCATTGTGCCTGCAGAAGAGCCACGTGTATAAAAAGACCCTGCAGGCTTTAATTTACCCCATCTCCTCCACCACTCCACATAACTTTGAAGTGTGGACCGCCACCACCCCCACATACTGCTACGAATGCGAGGGGCTGCTGTGGGGGATCGCGCGGCAGGGCATGCGCTGCTCTGAGTGCGGCGTCAAATGCCACGAAAAGTGCCAGGATCTGCTTAATGCCGACTGTCTGCAGAGTAAGATCACACAGATATTTGCACATCAGCACACAAGTGTGCGCATCTTTAATTATGAGCATCCACCTTGTCCTCCACCCAAACTCTGCTTCCTTCTGCCAGATTGACATCCCATTATTCTTGTCCTCTATCCACTCTCACATTCTCCTCCCTCTTCCTTTCCAATTTATCTGCTGAGTAATGTGCTGTCACAACCCGGCCTCCTTTCTCCTCTCTCGTCTCCCCACAGACTTATCAAACTGTTTTTTTTTCTTCTAATTTTGCTCCACAACGAGAGACTTTTAAGCTGCTGCCTTGATTTTAGCGTCTTTTATGACGTGCTTAGTGAATTTCTCCTGGTTCCAAAGAGCTTGTTTTAAGATATGTTTCCCAAATTGTGCCACTATTTACAGCCACTCAATAATCAGATTGAGTGGCTGTTTTGGTTTTGGTTTTGGTTTTGGAAGCGGCCAGAAGCTGCCAAAGACATTGAAATTTAATCTGTCCCTATTTAAACTCTTTCTTTAGAGAGAGTTATTGCTCTCTCTAAAGAGAGTTATTGCCTGGAAATATTGGATGAGGCTCTGTGCAAGAAATACTCACAATTGCAACTTGTCCTCCTGCGTTGCAACGCTTTTGCCACATCAGGAGCCGCGGAAAAGAGCTCCAAGCACGGCGCAGAGGACCGGACGCAGAACATCATAATGGTGCTGAAGGACCGCATGAAGATCAGGGAGAGGAACAAACCAGAGATCTTTGAGCTAATCCAAGAGGTGTTTGGATTGGACAAGACGACGCACAGCACGCACATGAAACAGATCAAACAGAGCGTGCTCGACGGGACCTCCAAGTGGTCGGCAAAGATTAGCATCACAGGTTTGTTTTAGACTCATTTGGTAAATAAAGTAACAGAAACCTGCATCTGTCTGAACAGGTGGTCCGGGTTTTAAGTCTTACCACAGTGTTTCAGTTGGATTTACGTCCAAACTTTCACCTAGCCATGCTAACTGCAGTCACGTACTCACCAACCATTTAGGATCCAGCAACTACTATTATTACTACTACTACTTTAATTGTGGGGCATCAAAATATAGATTACTGAACCTGCATGCATGCCACACATGTCAGATTTTTAACTGTGAAAAAAATTCAACATTATGTTTCCTTTTTGTTCCACTTGACAAATGTGTGATACTTTATGTTGGTTTCAGTTGTGTTATTGCCTAAGAGCTGATGTGGAAATCCACTAAAATAATACAGCAAAAAATCACCTGATTGTTGTTTTATAGTAAGACGTATCCTATACTGTCAGTGTGTTTAGCTGTGTCTTTATGGTCCCTTTCTTTAGTGGCTTGTGCCCCAGGCCTTCAGGCTAAAGACAAAACAGGCTCCAGTGACCCTTATGTAACCGTCCAAGTCGGAAAGACAAAGAAAAGGACCAAAACCATTTACGGCAACCTGAACCCGGTCTGGGAAGAGAGCTTTCACTTGTGAGCACTGCAGCGAACTATGACAGATTTAGGCATCATTCTATGCTCACTTTAAAAAGTATCGTTTTACTAGCATTTGAATTTAAGATTCCTAACTTCTGATGTTTGTGTTGCTTCGGTCTCGTCCAGCGAGTGCCACAACTCTTCCGACCGGATCAAGGTCCGCGTCTGGGACGAAGATGACGACATCAAGTCCCGCGTAAAACAGAGGTTCAAACGCGAGAGCGACGACTTCCTGGGTCAGACCATCATCGAAGTCCGCACTCTGAGCGGGGAGATGGACGTTTGGTACAACCTGGGTGAGTTACGCGCAATAACGCCGGGAGAAGATTAGAAACGGATGACAGGAGCAGTGAGTCACCAGGAGATAAGAGCCGGGGAAACATGTAGCCGAAGAGCTTGTCTGCTGTAGATCCAGGAGATTTCACCCTACTAATGAAGTGTGTGTATCTAATATTTATTTAACAGATAAGAGAACAGATAAGTCTGCCGTGTCGGGGGCCATCCGGATGCACATAAGTGTGGAAATCAAAGGAGAAGAGACTGTAGCTCCTTACCATGTCCAGTACACCTGTCTGCACGAGGTCAGAGGGACAGAGAAATAGTTTTGTTGTTTTAGCGACACCATTAAGCATGCAGCAGTAACATAGTTTTTCACCAATACAACAGTTGCTACTCCTATTGTTAAAAAGAATATCTTCAGACATTAAAATGTATTAACGTTTTTATTTGTCTGCGTTCAGCACTTATTCCAGTACACCACTGAGGACCAAAACGGAGGCGTAGTAAAGATCCCAGAAGCCAAAGGCGACGATGCCTGGAAGGTGTACTTTGATGAAACTGCACAGGAGATCGTGGATGAGTTTGCCATGAGATACGGAGTAGAGTCCATCTACCAGGCCATGACGTCAGTACCTAAAGCTTATTCACACAGTCAGCCACACGTTTAGTTTACTGGATATCTAAGAATAAAAAGGTGGGGAAAGAAGAGAAAATATTACTAAATGGCCTTATTACAATTTTTTCCCCAACAGCCACTTTGCCTGCTTATCGTCTAAGTACATGTGCCCAGGAGTGCCAGCTGTGATGAGCACCCTCCTTGCCAACATCAACGCCTACTACGCCCACACCACCCAGTCCTCCAACAATGTTTCTGCCTCGGACAGATTCGCTGCATCAAACTTTGGCGTAAGTCCCAGAAGGAAAAAAAAAACTGCTATAGGAGATATGTGATAAATGGACGATGGTGCTTTTAAAAACTCTTTAAGAAACAAGTAAATGTGATTCCTCTCATGGTCAACCACATGTACTATGCTGCTCTTGACTTGGTTAAACTATGTTTCATTATATTTTGGTTCATAAAACAGTCAGACTAACAGTCTCTCAAATATCAATTAGTCTAATAACGTTAAAATGAATCAGAAAGATGAGCTACTGACCTTTGCATTGAGTAATCTCTGTAACATAGGAAGAAGCAAGGAAATTACAGTATATTTATCTGAATTCTCATTTATTTATTGTTTTTTAGTATTTTAAGTGTCTGGTAATTGACACTTAATTTAAAGATGGAAAAAAAATAACAAGAAGTGTATCAGTGGAACCCAGATCTACACCTATCTATCATCAAAAATAAAAATGATACATTACACTTTAAATCTACAGACTACAGCTAAAACAGAAGATTCTTGATGAGGAAACTGGATTTTTTTTTTTATCTAAAGAGCTTAAAGAGCCCATATTTATTAATACTTTATGAATGATTAAAGAACAGGGTTTTACAGTCTAATTTATAACCTTTTGTTTATTACGAGCGAGAAAAAGGTGGCAAAAGCCGCCTTTAGTACCTGCCTTACCCAGTCAGCTCTCAACCCCTGAAGCAGCACCATGAAAACAGAGGCAGCCATAATTTGTGCTAATTCATCATCTCACTCTTTACACAAGTTTGTGGGTCTGCTCACGCTGTTCCCGCCTTCAGACCAGCAGGCTGATTGTTCTGACCCGGGTCACCAGACGACTTGGGAGGGATTTCACTTTGGATCATTTGGAGAGCTAAAAAAGTACTAAGTAACCTTTATCACCTTCCCATGACATTGAAGAAATAGAAAACCTTGAAAGAACTTGAAGCATGATGTATGATCCAAACAAGAATACTGTTTCCACAAACAAATTAGAAAAGTCCATCAGGTCTCTCTTTCTGACTCTGATGGGAAATTTTCTCTCTCAGTCTGGATTCAGCTACACTAGACGTTTGGTAGGTGGTGTCATGATGGAGCAGACTGAGTAATCACATGTGGCTTAGGATAACATCACATTAGACAGCTAAAGAAAAATCTGATTCCAGTACAGTTTCTACAACCACATTCTTTAGATTAAGAGAGACCAAAATGTCAAAAAGATTACACACTGGATATAACTCATTGCAAAAATAATTCTATTTTTAGATGCACAGTGATGCAGACTCTGATTCAATTTACAAATGTCAAAGCTCAGTTACCTTGTTGTTAATTGAAACAACAATTTAATTTAGAGGAACATTAAAAAAAAGCAGAAGTGAGAACAGCTGAAGTGCAGCCACTCAGAAAATTTGTGAGAATCAAATCCGAGGTGTTCATGTGCACTGAAACGACGTGAGGTCTAAAAAACCCAGGCTTTGTGCTTTCAGAAGGTAACAGCTGCTCTGTTTTTTTTTTTTCTCTGCAGAAAGAACGGTTTGTCAAACTGCTGGATCAGCTTCACAACTCCCTGAGGATCGACCTGTCCATGTATCGGGTACTTACTGCTGATTCTAATTTACACGCCGCTTTAAGCGGCCTCACGAGTGCAGTTGATTATCCGTCTCCCGCTGACCGCGTCTGCATGTGCTATTTTTAGGGATTCGTGTGTGTTTTTAGACTGTGATAAAGCATTGTGGATATTGATGCTGATGCTGCAGTTTCTTACGGCCTTTCTGTTTGTCTGCGCTACAAGAATAACTTCCCCGCCAGCAGTCCTGAAAGACTACAAGACCTTAAGTCTACTGTCGACCTGCTGACGAGCATCACATTTTTCAGGATGAAGGTGAGCACACACACACACATCTGAAAGTTGCTATTTTTGCATCTTTTGAAAATATCAGCAGATCACAGCAGATCGAATTTTTTTTTTTAGAAATTAGTCTGGAGAGATATATTCTGAATCAGTATAACTTTACCAAGCATGAAAATGGATCTCTACATGTCAATTGTTTCATTGAGCCTCTGGCTAAATCTACAGTGAGATAGCCTCCTGCTGAAGCGCTGTGAGTCTGACAGCTACTTTATGGCATTGTTTTGACTCCACCATATGGCTCTTCTTGTTTGTGTTCAGGTCCAGGAGCTGCAGAGTCCCCCCAGGGCAAGTCAGGTGGTGAAGGACTGTGTAAAAGCCTGTCTCAACTCTACCTACGAGTACATCTTCAACAACTGCCACGACCTGTACAACAGGGAATATCAGACAGACCCGGTGAGTTTATACATATGAAGCAGGTCCACGTTGCCCGGTCAGCGCTCATGCACATCTCTGTCCATGTTCTTCCCTCGTTGTCTTTATAAACTCCTCACGTGTGCTGCTTTTCTCCTTCATCTTTCTGTTTGCAGTCGAAAGCCGTCCCTCCAGATGAACAGGGTCCCAGCATCAAAAATCTGGACTTCTGGTCAAAACTCATCACACTGATTGTTTCCATAATAGAGGAAGATAAGAACTCATACACTCTTTGCCTTAATCAGTGAGTGTGTTTTCATTTGCATCTATTGTAGTTGTACTATGAAAAGTATTGTTAGATAGCAGCTTTATTGGAAACCGTTCACAACAGTGAACCCTCCCTAGTTTAGAAAGGAAACCAGTATAAAAAAAAGGACATTTATTTTAATATTTATGATGATTAATTTAAAGGAGCCCATGGGCTTTGTTTTGAGAAACAATGAGGATAATTGCAGCTTGTTTATTTCCTTATTCCTCGAGAGATTTTAGAGGTCTGTGGTTTCTAGAAAAAGTGCTGCTGGATATAAATGAGCCTCTTGTTCAGTAACACAGCACCATTACTGGATTTCAAGATTAAAATAGACACAACTGCTTCATTCTTATAGATTTCCCCAAGAACTCAATGTGGGTAAGATCAGTGCTGAAGTCATGTGGAACATGTTTGCACAAGATATGAAATACGCCATGGAAGGTAAGTTGTAAATATCATAGAATAGTATTTATCTCTTTGTTTCTTAAACCAAAGAAACAAAGAGATATTAATTATTAATTATGCAGTGGCTTGCAAGTTACTTTGCCTTTGAAGTTTTTTGTGTTTTGTCATATAACAACCACTATCTTCAATGTATTTTATTGGGATTTTACGTAGTAAACCAAGAGAAAGTTGCACATAATTGGGAAGTGAAAGGAACGTTTTAAAACATTTTTATGCATTATAATAAAAATCTGAAAGATGCGGCGTAAATTTGCGCTGCAAGTGTTACTGCAAATCTTTTGGGTTACATTTAAGATTTACCCGTTTAAACTGGAATTTTCTTCTGGGATACTTTCTTTCACTTTTGCCAGGTCATTACTGTAAATAGGAATTTGTTTTTAATAACTCACCTGGTTAAATAAGTTTAAAACTTGAAATAAAACATCTTTTGGGTTTCTTCTTGACTCGCTTCCATTAATGCCAGACAAGTAATAGTCAAATTGACAGATTTTTCCATGTGAGTTGTAGATCTCTGCAGCTCCTTCAGAGTCACGTATTTACTAATTTGTTGAATTTTGAAAGCAATTAATGGTCATGGGTTTTATTTAGCAGTATCAAATTAAGGATACTATTCATATTCCATCCATCCATCCATTATCATACATTATTGTACCTACTGGGGTCGCAAGGGTGCTGGTGCCTCGCTTGAGGGATCTTATTCATATGTTATTTATAAAAATATTGAATAACATTTTACATCTTTCTTCCGTTTCACAGTTGTGCACTGTTTTATCGCACAAAATCCCGATAAAGCACATTGACGTTTGACTGTAGCAGCAGAATGTGTAAGAAAAAGCCAGCGGGGTATAGATACTTTTACAAGACAATGTTTGTGTGAAAAGAAACAAAGCAAGGTGTGGGCTTCTCCTTATTCTGTCCTCCTGTGTGATATTTAGAGCATGAGAAGAACCGCCTGTGTAAAAGTGCAGACTACATGAATTTGCACTTCAAGGTGAAGTGGCTTTATAACGAGTACTGCAAGGAGTTGCCCACTTTCCAGAAGCACGTACCCGAATATCCAGCGTGAGTGTTTTCTATGTCGCAAGACACTTCTCCGGTCCTATTTGCCACCCTGACGGGAAGATTTATGTTGCACCCGTTTGCTCTTCGCTGTGCAGCTGGTTTGAGCCGTTCGTCGTCATGTGGTTGGACGAAAACGAGGAAGTTTCCAGAGATTTTCTCCACGGCGCACTGGAGAGAGACAAGAAAGATGGGGTAAGTGTTTCCCCTTAAAGAAACATGATGAAATTTCTAGTTAATCAAACTCTAGTTTGTTTGTATAGAAAGTAGGGTTTGTTTGGGGAGGTGTGAATCGAACTCTGATGCAGACCAAAACAGGGAACTCTGGTCCGCTTAAAAACCTAGGTCTCTACACGGTTACCGTGAGCTTTGGCGTGAATAAACTTAATATGTGGAGGCAAGTGGACCTCAGACAGGTCCATAAACAGGAAGCGAACTATAGGGAATTCTGGGTAAATACAAAACAAAAACTCACGCTAGAGAGAAGTGACTCGTGGTCTTTTAACTAAAGAGACTAAAGAGAAATCCTACAACCGGTAAACTCCATTTTTGATTATATATTGTGATGAAGGAAGATGCACTGAGCGTCTTCTTCTGAGGTTTCCATGTTGTTTCCTTCAGGGGAGGGGAACAGGTGGATTTGGTTTGTGTGACAACAAACTGCACCAGCTGAAAATGTAACAATTGTTGCAACTTTGGCCCAAAATCGAACCCAGTCTACCAGTGAAAACACCCTATAATTCACATTTAAAAGCCCAGGCAAGTACCGGAAAGTAATATGTAAGTAATTTAAATTGAATTCTGCTGAGGCAGCAACTTGGATGTGATCTCCAAGATAAGTTCCCCTAAAAGTAAGTAAAGTAAAATATTCATGGTTTTCTCTTATGCAAATTCGATTCTGCTACTCCGCACATTCCAAGCTGTGAGCAGCAGATTGGAGGCCTCAAGGCAATCGATGATGACTCGATAGCAAAAGCTTGTGGAAAACACTTCACCGTGGAACGCAGCAGATGTTCCAGCGCCAGTTAGTGTAAACACACACGTACGATGCAATGGCTCTCGCTCGCCGTCTCACACCTACGTACCAGCACAGCAAGAAGATCGATACGACGCAGCTGAAGAGTCTCCCATATCATATGTCATAGATCCTTTGGGTCCAATTACCGTTGCCCAAGGCAGCTTCTGCTTTCCTGCGTCAGTGAGATGGTGGTCCCTGGGCTCAGTCGCGTACCGTAACGCTATTCAGCTCTGGGCTAATGGTTGGGCTGCTAATGAGGGCACTTTTCCCGATCATAGCCCTTTGATTACCCACCCATCCCCTCCGTTTCCAAACGCTTTCAGAGAAACCGACCCACAAGTGTTTTCATTCCAGTCACAGCCAGCCGAGCAGGACGTAGTTTCATCATTGTTCCTGCGCTGGATGGAGGCCCTCGTGGGAAATAAAACCTCTCACTTATAGTGTTGGGAAAACTCAGATGTTACTACTGATAGCGTCCGCATCGCAAAGCAACTCCTTTAACGTTTCCCTCCAGTCCACCACCAACCTACGCCTCTTGATCTCTAGTTCCAGGTCACGTCGGAGCACGCTTTGTTCTCCTGTTCGGTGGTGGACGTGTTCTCCCAGCTCAATCAGAGCTTTGAAATCATTCGCAAGTTGGAATGTCCCGACCCTCAGATTGTCGGCAACTACATGAAGAGATTCGCCAAGGTGACTTTCTTCTCTATATCTGCTCTTTCTGAACATCTCTGTCTCAGTTTTTAATGTACCATGACTTCGTGTGGTTTCCTTCTCCTAGACTATCGGCAACGTCCTCCTTTCTTATGCGGACATCATAGCGAAGGACTTTCCAAATCATGTCAAGAAAGAGAAAGTGGTAATATCAAAATTTGGAAAAGACATAAATATATAGATATCTGATGGACGTTTGTGTAATCGTAGCTGTATTTTTAAGATGTTTGTGGTCACGTTAATTGATTTAGGTACATTAATCCACTCTTCATTTCAAGTACTGAGACTTAGCAGAGTGAATTAGGGCTGCTGTATAATTAGCTCCAAGTGGTATACACTTGGAGGGGAAAGTACACTACACTCCCACAGAGACCAGAACCCCCCAAGAGAAGCAGTAATTACAGAAACCGCAGCTTCTTCTGCCCCAAGACACTATGCGGTTTTGCAAAAGAAGCATTTAGATGACTGTTAAAGGGACCTCAGCATGATTGATTTCAGCACATAGGTTGGAGCAGATGTGGAAATGGAAAAAAGAAACTATGGAAGAGAAGTAAGAGATGTGTGTGTGTGTGTGTGTGTGTTTAGCTCTATGTGTGATGGTTTTCTTTTTTCCCTCCTTTCAGCCATGTATCATAATCAATAACATCCAGCAGCTTCGGGTTCAGCTGGAGAAGATGTTTGAAGCCATGGGAGGGAAAGATGTAAGTTTTCCATCTACAGTTTCTTGCAAAAGTTTTCAATCCTGTTGAACTTTCCCACATTTTAACCACATTACAACCAAAAAATATTTTTTTATTTCTTTTAATTTATAGGTATTTCATGTGCTAGACCAACACATTACTGAGGAATTAATAGATAGTCATACATGGTTTTAAATTTCTTTACAAATAAATATCTGCTCCTTTACTGGGATACCCCTAAATAAAATCCAGTTTAAACAATTGCCCTCAGAAGTCACATAATCTACCCGTGTGTCAATTAATCTCAGCATAAATACAGAGATCTGTGGGTTACTACACACTCAGAGTCTCAAAGTTCTGCAGAGACCCACAAACGAGCCATTATTTGATCCAGGTATGTTAAAACAGAGAAGGACTTCAGCCCTCACTTTGGACACCCCTGATCTATTTGAAATCCCATCCATTCCTTTACTTCCACATCACAATCATCCACTACTATGTGTTGGTCGATTATACCAAACCCCTAATAAATACCCTGAAGTCTCTGGTTGTAATGTGACAAAATCAAAAATGTTTCAGAGATATGAATTCTTCTGCTAGGCACTCTGTACGCGTTTTCCTGTAAATGACATCCATATTGAACGTCTGTGTCTTTGCTGAAGCTCAACCTGGAGGCGAGTGACTTCCTGAAGGAGCTCCAGAACAAACTCAACAGCGTCATGGACGACCTCAGCCGTATCTTTGCTGTCAGGTGGGTATTTCTGCTTCTTTCTACATAAAACCAGCCACAAATGTTTTTTATGCCACCAACTTCAAAGTCTGTGCTTATGTTTTGTTTTGTTTTTTATATCTGGGGTATCGTGATAGCTTCCAGCCCCAGATTGAAGATAACGTGAGGCAGATGGGGGACATCCTAGCCCAGGTCAAAGGTCAGACCGTCCCTGCAAATGGAAGTGTGGTTCAGGAGGCTGACAACGTCCTGCAACCAATCATGGACTTCCTGGACAGCAAGTGAGCAAGACTGGATTTTACTGTTTTAAACAAATAGTAGTCCTGGGACATGAGACTACTTAGGCAAAAGCTTTATGTTCAATCTAATATTTTTCATCTTAAAGAAGATAATAAAAACACTCCCTTCGTTGATATACAAGATGATATATCTCAGAGGATGCCACATCTTTGGCTTTCCAAAATTATTTAAAATGTTAACTTATCAGTCTGTGATCAATAACAGCAGGGTAAAGGGCTCACTTTCAGGAATTTTTTTTATTTGTTGACTTTATAACATTAAGTTACAACTTGCCATTCTGAAAGGAAAATTAATCTTTGCTGACTGTTTCCAGGATGGGTTTCTGAGTTCAGGCAGTGATTTTCACAACAGAGTGATGTGTATTTTATTTTACACAGTGCTGCCTCGGGGCACAAAGTTCAATCATACATTGTTGATTGTCAGCCTTTTTTCTACTGTCTACTGAGATATTCCAGCACTCATTCTGTGTAATCTCTTCCGTTATGTAAGATTTTATTTTTGTAGCAGTAGGAAGGGTTTTCATATCAGTGCTTTCTTGTTTTATTAATACACCAAATCCTTTTCCCAGCGTGTTTCCTCAGACGTGCAACAAGAATAGAAATACAGATCTCTGACGTGTTTTGCTCCAGTGAGTTGACAGATCGTGTGTTGTTGTGTTTTAGCTTGTCGCTGTTTGCAAAGATCTGTGAGAAGACGGTCCTGAAGAGAGTGCTGAAGGAACTGTGGAAACTAGTGATGAACACGATGGAAAAAACTATTGTGCTTCCAACACTTACAGACCAGACGGTATGTAAGAAACACACACGCACCTATAATATGTCTTTTTATCTTCACCAGGACTTTGCATTGACTTCCATTTATTTTTCATTTATTTCAATAGCCTAACCCTAACGCTAAACCTGACCTAAACTCGATTCTCACTTCAGTCTTAAACCTAACCACAAAGCAAAAACAAACATCTCTGTGGGAATAGTGGGTCCTCATAACATAGTATTCATTGGAGAAATGGGCCATAAAATCTATGAAATACAACGCCACACACACAAATAAAATACTTTCATCAATTTTCCGTCTTGATGCTCTGTACATCTTAAATTCAATGGCTCTATCAGTAGATATATATTAGTGAATTCAACTATAATTGTACGGTAACCTATCTCTCCTGCCATTTTCTCATTTTGCTTCTATTCTCCTTCCTCTTAGGTCATTATAAGTATGTGTGAATAGCTTTTAAACACATGAAGAAATACTGCCTTTAACATGAACCTTCTACCTGCATGTGTAATTTCTGTCACCGTTGGCAACCACTCTCATCTTTTCTCTCACTGTTGTCTCCTCTCTTTTCAGGGAACCCAGATGATCTTCAATGCTGCTAAGGAGTTGGGTCAGCTCTCCAAACTCAAGGTAACTCATGCAGATGGCAGCAAAACCAGTGAAATACCAGTGAAGTTTTTATATTAACGTATATATTAACTCTTTTGCCATTTTTGTCTTGCAGGAGCACATGGGCCGGGAGGAGGCCAAAGCTCTGACTCCCAAACAGTGTGCAGTCATAGAGCTGGCACTAGACACTATAAAGGTATGACACCTGTTTGGTGCTTCTTGTTCACCACCATTAAATGACAGTTAAGGGCAATTTTAAATCTCTAATTTTGAAATGCTACGAAACTCGCAGTCGTGATTTTAACCTATTCTAGTTTCGCTTGTCAGACTCTACTAAGACTGCTTTTAACACATTTCTGTCAAGCTCTTCTGCTATCGCAGGTCATATATTATTTATATCAGGATTCGAGGCGATGTCACACTCTGTGTGTGTGAGTAGCTACCGTAAAAATGAATTTCACAAGTTAAACAAAGACAAAATGATGGTAACATTTAAATTTTAAACAGTTTTTAGAATTTCGTATTGACCATTAGCACTGCTAACGTTGTTAGCGTAGAGAATATAGAGCTTCACTCCAAATGAAATATTTTCTAAAAGCTGACATTTCACATCAGCTTTGCTGCAGTTTGGTCAGTCCTCTTGTTATCTGCTGAGGTCAGATTGGATTCAGTTTCCTTTTTAACCAGTTCTTTATGAACTGATCTTTCTATCGTTGATACCTGCTATTGTTCTGAAAAAGTTGGGTGCAAAATGATGAAGACGTAAATAAGATGAAATAACCACCACTTTTACAAATAATGCATGTCAGTGTTGCCATTTCCATCAAGGGGACCTCCAGAAGAAAATAGAGTAAAATAGAATATGTACAAATGTGAATAAATAAATAGATTTAAAAAGAGAGAAATAAACAAATACTAATAAGCTGCAGGGATTTTGAATTAAAATAACTAAGTAAAAATAATTCAACTTGTTGGGTGGGACAACATTTTCAGAGCTAATGACTTTTTTAAGTCATTAAAAAAGTCTTAAAACCCTTATAACAGTTTATTTAAAAAGCCTTTTTTGTGACAATACATTATGACTATGTCTTTTCACTTTAAACAAACCAAATAGAAGTGAGTCCTGGGACATGAGACTCTCATTCTGAGTTTTTGAGGCGTATCACCTGCATGTCTGTCTCAGTGCTCAGGAACTGCAGCATCAGCTCTCGCTGCATGTCAGATCTCTGTCTCCTTTGATGGATCTTTTTCTCCACAAAACACAAGAGTCCCACAGAATGACATTTTCTCTGTGACACATGCTGAGCATTGATTTTTAGAGCCGAGTATATTCCCTCCCCCCTCCTGCACTACAAATCCCCTCAACACAGACCCCTCTGTCTGTGTCGAAGCTTTCTCATTTGCAAAGGAGGCTCCGGGCTTTCCTCTCCAGCTTGTTTGTGTCTTTTCAGACATTGTCTGTCTTCAACTCAGCAACACACACCCAGCTCCTCAGCAGCGGAGAGGCACGGCTGATTTGCATATTAATGCATTCAATATTACTGACTGCAGAAAAAGAATTACATCTAACAGCTTTTAGACCCCAAACTGATGTCAAGAAGCAGCTGCTGCAAAAGGCCTCCTTCTATGTCTTATCACCTTGCCACAAACTGAGCACGGTAGACTGTCATGTCACTAACATGACAGTCTCCCAGCGGGAAAGCCCGTCTATACCTCCACAAAAGAATGTAGCTTTTTGCAGAAAGGTGCAATAACATACACAATTCAGTAATGTAAAGCGTATTAGGTTGCTATTTGATTAGTTTTAGTTAGTTTTTATTCCAAAGTCTGGATATAGCAAAAATGTTAGATCAGTTGTAAACAAAACAAAAGTTATTTACATGGTTTGCTATCTATAACTATATCTATATCTAGTACAGAGTGAACTTTCCTCAGTTCATAACCCTTCTGCACACTACAACACACGTTCCTTCTCTCTGCAGCTCATGTTGCCTTGGATGTCATTTTATGCTGTCCAGTAACGTGTGTGTGTGTGTGTCATATGTGTTAACAGCAATATTTCCATGCGGGCGGCGTTGGCCTGAAGAAGACGTTCCTAGAGAAGAGTCCCGATTTGCAGTCTCTGCGCTACGCCTTGTCCCTGTACACGCAGGCCACTGACAAGCTCATCAGGAAGTTTGTCCTCTCCCAGCATGCTCAGGGTACGACTTCAGAGAGCGACAACTCACACACAGACACACACGTAGACATTTTGGCAGAGAGAATAGCTCGCCATCAGTTTCTTCTAAAGACACTTTGAACTGCTGTCAAACAGCTCTGCTGCTTTAAGGAGTGAAAACGGATTGCTTACAGTGACGTGGAAAATAATTTATTATGCAAAATCCTGCTTGCTACATTTGTTTTTTACTGATTTTCGCCCAACTGATAAATAGTTCAAAAATATCCTTTAAGGATTCCTAACATGTTTGGATCTGCTTTATTAACAATCATGTGTGTGTGTTTGCTGATCCTTTTACTACTGTTACTCTTTACAATCTTATCTTTCCTTCCTTTCTCCCTTCAGTCCATGGAGGGAAGGGAATCCGATATACTACAAATGAAGACACCCCACCAGAGAAAGGTAGTGTTTAATCCAAACGTATTTTCACACTCTAACTGTGATCTAACGGTCAAGCTGGTCAATCCCGTCGAAGCATAAATATATGTTTACACTTCCTAGCAAAAGTATTCACAACACCACCTGTTTGTAACTTAATCTCAGCATAAATCCCGTTGTTCTGTGAAGACATTTGAGGTTTTTCTAGAGAACACTAGTGAACAAACAGCATCATGAAGATCAAGGCACACACAGAGGAAAGTTGTGGAAAAGTTTAAAGCAGGATTAAGTCATAAAACACCAACACAAGCGTTGGGCATCTCACAGGCAACATGTGGTCGTCCGCTTAAACTGACACCTCCAAGAATAAGAGTTGTAATATTTAAAGGAATGTGTGAGGACTTGCAAATTGTTCTTCTCAGATATTCTCCAGCTAATCTGATTGAGGCTGAGCTCTTTTGAAAAAACAATGGACAAAAACAAAACCTTCAGACTGTAGATGTCCAAATCTGGTTGAGACATTCCCCAAAAGACATGCAGCTGTCGTTGCAGTGAATGGTGGCTATGAAAACGAGGGCTGAATGCAACAACATGCCACACTTTTTAGATTTTTATTTGTTAAAATCTGGAAAGCTGTCAATTCCTTCTACTTCACAATCATATGTCACTTCACTGTGTTGGCCTATTGTGAAAATCTCAGCAAAACGCAGTAAAGTTTTAGGTCATTGCATGACAAAAAGCAAGACATTGTGTCTAAGACTGTATTTGTAGAGCAACCCCCTCACACTTCTGTTTAAAATAGATACGTTGTTCGGTTCCTTTTGCAGCCTCTGGAGTGGACGCGGTCGGTGAGGTGGTCATGGGCGTGGACATTTTACCGCAGCCGAACGGAGAGCACAAGATCAGTGTCAAAGGTTAGAGGCTGTTGCCGCGTCCTGTGTCATGTGAGTCACGTTCTCTTTTGGTGCTTTTCCTTCTTTGCTCACTTCATCTGTCCCTCCAGTGGTGGCTGCCAATGACCTGAAATGGAAAGCACAGGGTTTCAGGCCTTTTGTGGAAGTCTACATTATTGGGCCTCACCTCAGTGACAAGAAGAGGAAATTTGCCACCAAGTCCAAGAACAACAGCTGGTCGCCAAAGTTCAACGAGAGCTACCAGTAGTGAGTGTCCACTGGCTTTCATCATCTTGCTTTGGCCAGACACTGAAAAAAAAACAAGCACAAAATCTAACTTAGTATTATTGGTAAATGTTCTAGTGGAAATATCTTAGGGCACTTGAGACAAAACTAACTGGGAGATTATTTAACTTATAGCTAGTACTTTTTCATCAATATTAAGGAATTATTGACTTGAATTAAGCTCCTATTTCTTGCTATAAAGTTACTGGTAGGTTAGTTTGAAGCCATGTCAAAAATACTTGGTAATATTTTGTGTTTTTGCAGTGCAGATGAATGACGATGTGTGGCTGAAAATGTTGAGCGTGTTTGATGTGTTTCAGTTCGCTCGGCACCGAAGTGGGACCGGAGAGCTACGAGCTGCAGGTGTGTGTGAAGGACTACTGCTTCGCCAGGGAAGACCGCACCGTGGGAATGGCCGTGCTGCAGGTGAAGGACATAGCAAACAAGGGCAGCGTCACCTGCTGGCTGCCGCTGGGACGACGGGTCCACATGGACGAGACGGGCCTGACGGTGCTGCGCATCCTCTCTCAGCGCAACAACGACGACGTGGCCAAAGAATTCGTAAAGCTCAAGTCCGACCAGCGTTCAGCAGAAGAGGGCCGCAGCTGAGGCGGAAGAGAGCGACCACAAAAAAACAACAACAAAAAAAAAAAACGTGTGCACAAAAACACCAGAAGCATACCTGACGAGGCATCGTGTTACACACACATAACACCCCGCGCCTACATAGAAAACCACGTGCAATATACAAGCACACACGTGAAACTGCTCTATTGTACATATATCTGCATACATTATGCAACATCTACATTGTAAGGTTATCAATGCAAACACGGGGGAGTGAGTTTATATTTAAAAAAAAACAAACAAAGATTTTATTTAATTTTGAATATTTCTGCATCTGCACTAAGCTCTACGTTTGCCGTTACTTAATCTCCCCGACACTCTTTCTGCTACATCACACCTTTTCATATGCTGTACAATTAGTTGTGATGAAAAGCACCGCAGAACCGACAACTAAACTATGTGAATAGTTTGACCTACTTTGCACTTTTCCTTCTCTGCATCTTCAGGAGAGCCGTCCTCGTCATTAACTCCGTCTCTCTGCCCGTCTGTTTGCTCGTATGTCTGATTGTGTCGTTCGCCATCCCCACCTCCCGCAGCGCCATCCGTGCCGTTCGCTCTCCACAGTCTTCCTAAAATACAATGTGGTATGTGAGACGTTTCTGCCGAATAAACACCCCCCCACCCCAAAAAAAAAAAGAAAACACAAATCAGTGTCGAGGGGCGACATGTTTATTAGTCTTTACCGTAATGTATTAACGTCCTGCATGTTGACCCCAGAAACACTGTGACTCACCTCTCTATAACCGCAGCCCTCCTCCCCCCAGTCCTCTGATGTGCTATCTGTTTTGAGCACAGTGCATATAACCCTGAAACAGCAAAGGTTTCGACTAATGCTCATTGTTGCAGAGAGGACAGGGAAACGGTTCTGAGCCGGAGCTGTGATGTGTCGAGTGAAGCAGAGGTTGTGGCCAGAAAGCGCATCACGTTAAACGGAGCAATACCCCAGACACCCTCCCCGTCGCCCCCGAGTGCACATTATCCCCCTCCTAAAAAAAAAAGAAAAAAAAAAGGGCTATAAGATCTGTGGACTGGATTGTCATTTTCACTAAAACATACTGTCAGTGCTTCTTTTGGCCAACTGAACACAAGATTAATCTCAGCTGCAGAACCTTGCATAGGTATTTATACACGTTGAACTTTTTAGTATTTTTTTTATTCACCCACAATATTTAATGTATTTTTATTACAATTTGATGTCACAGATCAACACAAGTTAGCGAATAACTGCAAAACTGGAAAGAGATGGAAATGAGTTTTCTGCAAAGACGTTTTAAAACCATGTATCCTCTTTTCCTCCCACCTTACAATTCTTGCAAAGTTTTTTTTTTTGTTGTTGTTGGTCCATCCTCCCGATGAATACCAAGGAGTTTGAGAATGCAAAGTGACAAAATGCAAACATTTTCAAGAGGTTTAAATAGTTTTTGCAAGGCACAGTAGCTGCAGCAGGAAACTGCTTCTTAACTCCATCCAATAAGGCAATACTAGTTTATGTATCCATAAAAGCACGAGAGCAAACCCTCTGTTCACACTGCTGTGTCTTCTCTTCATGTGTACATGCATGTGTGTGAAAGCGTTAGCGTGTCTGTCCGGGCGGATTGTCACTCCTACTATATGGGCTCTCTGATAGTGAGCAATATCTACACGCCCAAACTGTATGCGCTGTCAATGTTAGAAAACTACAAGAGCACCAAGGGCACTATCCACATCAAAGGAATGGGAAACTTATGATCACATCTTTTTTGTAAATCACTGGGATATTTTCTTTACGGACTCATAAACTCCCATTCCTGATGGAAGTGTATAATCTTTTTTTTTTTTTTACATTCTTGCCTAAGGAAAGTGTCTTGATTTTGCATTTTTCTTTAGGAAAAGTACACCTCCAAAAACCAAAGCCCTTTAAAAAAAAAAAAAAAAAAAAAAGAATGAAGCCATTAAAGTCACCGCCAAGCATTTATAAAGTTCATTATTTTAAGTCATAATGGTTGATAAACCGTTACCTTTTCTTGCAAAAAAAAGCAAAACAAAACAAACAAAAAAGCAGACACTCATAGCCATAATCAAGCTCGCCTTGCAGTCTCTTTGTATCTCTAAATGTCAGTGACAGTGACTAAAGCCACCCACACATTGGCCTGTTACGTGTTGTCTTTTCTTTGAGGCTAAAATCGACCAAAAATAAACCCTGTGAATGTCACTTGTCCTCAGCAGAAGTGTTTTCTCTCTGCTCTTGTGAAATCGAAAACCGTGACTTGCTTGGAGACACCGACTCATGCCTTTGATTTAAGCCAACCGATTCCACTTGACTCATAAGAATACAAACACCCCACTGGGTTTCTCTGTGAATCTTTGGCAACGCTTAAAGGAGAACTCCACTGATTTTTACACATCATAAACCTTTCCTGATTACCATATGAGAAAATGTGTTACATCCTTGTCTTTGGGATTTTTAAAGTGAGGTGCTGGTAGTTTGTTACACAAATCCAGATTATTTGGATTTGCGTAGGCTAAAGCTAACGGCTAATCCAAGAGAGACTAAGACCGAAGCCTGCTTCTACCTTCTTGAAATAACGTCGTACTGCCTTTAGCAAACAATATTTATCGAACCTTAAAGCCTTTTTTATGATGGGATTGGTTGTTTGCAACACAAGAAGTGGAGGTAAGAGAAGATTCACCAGGAATCATCTTCCTATGTGAAAGGTGCCGAGAACTAAATACGTTATGGAAATTATTTCTACTCAAAGTACCTGTTTAATATCCCCATTTTTCCTAGGTTCCCAGGATGCTTTGCAAGGATTTTCTTACTGGTTCTCAGACCATTTTTCTAACATGGAAGCAAATGGTTTCTCACAGAAAAACAAAAACAGTAGGAAAATCAGCTTGTTCGCTTTAAACTTGTATAGTTTCATTCTAATTACTGGTTCCTCTTCTAAAGACTGGGGAGAATGACATGAAGCAATGGAAAAATGTAGCGTCCACATTCGTATTGCTTCCTTCTCCATGGTTATCCAATGGAAAATAATACACAGTTGAAAAGAATAATCATGTTTCGCTTTGAGTGCATGTCTAACACACACCTACTCAAGGCAATGGTGATTATAGGTGCAGCTGCAAACAATCAAACAGTTGGCATGTTTAGTTAAAGAGTCAAGAAGTTTAGCAAAAATGTAAACTGGTAAAAAAAAAAAAAAATTAAAATCCTCCTCACTGCCTACAAATGGCTTCTGGTGGCTTACTGGACTTTGCAAACACAACCTCACAGCCAACAGGACAAAGGTGGATTAAAGTGAAGCATTAAAAAAATAAATCAGACATATTCCAATGTTTAAGTGAACGCTATTTCATAGATGTTTTACATTGTTTTATTATGTCTTCATATGCGTTTCACTCAGGAAGATCCACGGTGGTGCACCGCCTCCTACCTCCATTTCCTGTTTGTTTCCCTTTGTAAATAACTTCCCCATCCAAATGTGGTGACAGTTTAAATCTTTGAGAAATAGGATACATAAGTATGTGCCACATTTTGAGACTATAGTTGTTTTAGAAAGGTAGAAGTTGCTTTAGAAAACTATTCTTATTGGAATAGCCGTTAGCTTTCCTCTCCATTTATGCTACACGATAAAACTATCACTTATTTACTGCAGTGACCTCTTACGTTTTAACACCTCACCTAAAAAATTCTGAACCTTTACTGTAGAGTTAGATTTTTTTTAATTTATTTATTTTTTTACCTCATCTTCCAGAATTTCTAACATTTGTCAAACTAAATTGTTGACTAAATCATTGCTTTGTTAGTCATGGGAGAAAAAAAAAGAAAGAAAAAAGAACCACAAATGATATCTCTGCTCTGCTACATCAGCTTGAATCATTTTTATTAATTTCTTTTCCTGTTTGCACAGCAGAAAACAAAACTAAAGTGCAGTGATAAATCGGTGGAGTGCTCCTTCAGGAGTCCCAGCAGGTTGCACTGTTGTCATGTGTCGTGTGTGTGATCTCAGGGCTCAAGACAAAACCTTTTTTCAGTCTGGATCTGAAAAACCAACAGCAGCAGCAGCAACGGGCCTTCTCGGCTGACATGCAGACGACTCCTGCACACCCACACGCACAGACGACACACACACCTCCACACCGATCTCAGCTCAAGCACAAAAATGGGCACGTGAGACGACACGCATGCATGCATGCATGTACGCCGACACAACTCTGTGGAGACCAATGATGCCCACCCTGTGAATAAAGTCAACTAAAATTGCATGATGGGAAACTTAATTGTGCCAGCACGTGTCTCTTTGATGTTATTTGACCTTTTTTTATTATTTTTGCTTACTGACTTGGTCTTACTTTCCCAAGCTGTGTAATAAGCCATCTGTGTGTTTTGTTTTTCAAAGAAAAAAAATGAAATCATGTTTTCAATTTGAATGTAGTGTGAACACAGAACTCGCATGAGAGAATTATTTTCTACTGAGGATGTTTGTAATTTGTTTCTTATCGTTATTGTTTAAATGAGGACGAAGCGGAGCTGGAATGCAGCCTGATTGTGATCTGCTTCCTATTAAAAGGATGTTTTTGTGTCACAAACTAAATGTCTCCCTGTACCTTTACTTTAAAGCTTTTTTTTTTTTTTTTTAATGATTTTACATCTCTAAAGTGAATGGTGAGGAAATGCTAAATGCTGCTTGCCAGGTAAAATCTGTTCAAGTCAGAGAAAGTAACTCCATATTCATATTAAAATACATCTTTTAAAATTATTTAATAAGAGTTCTCCCTCATCGAATTGAAATACTAAGTTAAATAACCTTTTTACACGAGTCATATTTCTTAAAGCTTCAGCCATATCTTAAGGCTAATGAAGTGCTTCTGCAGACTACACACCCCTCCTTTACACAGGCTTTGGTTTGGCTGCAGCTGTGCGTCTGCTGCCACCGTGTGGTTAAAGCTGCAGCTCGACGCTGGCGCGCCTCCACCCAACCGGCCCCCGTAGAAATAAAGACAAGAGACGCGAGCTGGTATTTTTACAGTAAAAAAATGAAACCAAAAAACAAGACTTTATTAAAGAAGCATAAAAAATAAAACTCTTGATACATTTCTCATAACCGTTAAGTCAGCTCAAATTATACGATTATACAATTTCTCCGGCTCACGGTTAAAAGGTCCATAAACTTTCAAATAAAATATATTTCAATTTTAAAATTTCTTCAATAATTTTTCTCATTTTGTTATAAATTGCCTATATGTAGTACACAGGAAATAAAGGAAAACAAAACAAAACAAAAAAAAAGTGGAAAATAAAAAATAAAATTTTTTGAAGTAATAAAAAGGGTCACATTATTGTCTGGGATATTTAGGTATGCAAATAAAATCGTAAAAAATAAAACATGTAAAAACTTTTTTTTGTTTTTCATCTTAAAAATTATTAGCTAATGCCGGGTGGCTTTGAAGACATGCAGATGGTTAACTTACAAATAATGATACATGTTCTTTAGAAACTACACTTATCTTCAATTAAGTCCTTTTTGCTTTTGAAAAACAAGATCCTGTTGATTGTATCCAGGGTATTTACACACACAGGTTAGGCCTGAAACCTAGTTCGCCGACGGTTTAAACGTTTTGGTTCTGCATACAAAGAGAATTAAAGCAAAAATAGGAGAGAGCAGGGGGCTCGAGGGGAGTCTGTTACCCCCTTCCCTGGCACGGCTCTCTTAGCATCCCCCCTCTAATCACAAAAAAAAAAAAAGGTCAGAGGTCACTGACTAGCATGCCTCAGGAAACCCTGTTTTCAAACCTTAAAGGAAGGAATTGGGGGATGGGGATACAATTACCAAAAAAAAAAAAAAAAAAGAAAGAAAAAAACAGTAAAAAGTCAATCTGAAAATAAAAAATTTGTACCTTTTTAACATTTAAAATTACTGTACATCAACCCTAACATTTGCTCGTTGGCCAAAAAAAAACAAAAAAAACAAAACAAAACAAACCTTGAAGATTTAACATGAAAGCCCATCTGGCAGAATACAACAATTTATTCTTCAACACGTCAGCCTGGACAGTTTCAAAGGAAGGGCCTCAACAGACTCGCACCAGTCATCACAGATGTGCTCATTCAGACAGCCCGGCATCTGGTCCCAGTTTGAAGACGCGAAACAACAGCAACGGATCCGACAGGAAAGTCGGGAAAGGAGTGGTGGGGGTCGGGGGCTTGTTTTCGGTAGGGAACGCAACGAGAACGAGCGCGGCAGAACTGTCGGGTCTACGGTGCACCCAGGAGGGGGGCAAGAGGGGGGCATCGGGGTGGTGGTGGTGGTTGTTCTGAGAAGTAAATGGCGGCCCCTCGCTATAACGAGCGGGTTTGTTCGTCTCTGAGACTCAGTAGGGAGTTGCACCAAAAGCACCATGGATGAGTCTTTGTAGAGACTTAGCAGGTTCCAGCTCCCGGGTTGCATTTTCTCCTACAGTTAAAAAAACAAACAAACAAACAAAAAAAAAAAAAAAAAAAAAAAAAAAAAAAAAAAAAAAAATATATATATATATATATATATATATATATATATATATATATATATAAATGTGAATGCGAACCTTTCGAAAAGCAGCAAAGAACTGCAATCACGCTGAAACTAACTGGAGCACCAAAAGCATAACTTGTATAAATCACTGTCGTCTCTTAAAAATAAAAATGTAAACCCTGCAACCCGTCCTGGTCAGTGGGGAAAGTCACACTACACACCGACAGGACCCGAATGAGATGAGCGCGCAGGGACGTCTGGAGAACCGATTAAACACAAAAACAGCAAAAAACATTCTGCAGCTGCTGGGATTGGAACACAAGAAGTGTCTGGAAGCCCTGGATGACCTAGCTACTAGCTGCCATAAAGGATAAGTTGATTCTTCCTATACGGTGTGAGCCTGAACATGTGTGATTATGTGTGTGTGTGCAGTCAGAGGAAGCCCTTGAGAATGTTTATTTTAGTTGTCATGGCTTGTCTCATTCTATGAGAGAGAGAGACAGAAAGAAAACCAAAAAAAAAAAAACAAAAGAAAGGGGGCCACCGAAACAGACTCCGCCGCCTGAAATGCAGCGATTTTAACACTATAAGAGGCAGTTACTGCAAACTTGTTGAACTTTTTTTTTTTCCACCAAAGGAGGGGGAAAAAAAACAAACACACACAAAACAGGACGTGCCTGCCTTATTAGAGTAATGCTATGAAACACAGGACGACTCAAACTACTAACTATATAGTGCACTACATTTTGTGGCGAGTACAGCGCTGTATAGATAGATTTAACACATCCGGGTACTTCGGGCCCCTTCGGGGGAGTAATGGAAAGTCGATGGGAGTCGAGGAACTTCTGGGGTCCAGGGTACAATAAAAGCATAAAACAAACAAATATCTTTTAGTTTTAGGTGCTTGGACACCATTTCAGACGAGGTCAAACATTATACTAGAGTGCTTCTTGTTGCCATTTGGTAACGTTACATTCATCACTTCAGCCAGCCTCCATTGAGGTGAACCAGTACATTGTAGGACTCAGCATTTAATATTTTTTTAGTTGTCATTTGTTCTAAATTGTATTTTTAATTCATGAGATGTGCGATCTGTAAAATACAATTGTTAAGCATGAAATATGCCAGTGTATATATTCTTTTTAAACTCAATGGGTTTCCTAGTGTTTTCTCACCGCTTTCTTTTAATCACTAACTCTAAATCACATGGAATATTAATTACATGACGTTATGTCTACAAAGTCTCAGTTTCTAAAATACGAGCCATGAAGGCAGACCATTTTTTATTTATTTTTTTTTTTTTTAAAAAGCAGAGATAAGAAAAGGAGATACAACTTATCTTGGGTTTTCTATGGCTGTCATGCATGTGTAGTCAGCAGAGAGTTGGCTCCCCCTGGTTGCCGCTGAGAGAAGGGAGACCAGTCACATCCTTTGTGGGGGACTCCCCTCGAAATTAGAGGATTTCCTGCGATTTGATTGGCTATGTGGCGGCAAGAAGATGAGCTCACCCAAGGCGCCATTAATGCAAGAGCTGCTGGTAGATATGAAGCTTCGATACTCCTTTTATAGACTTCAGTCGAGGCCAGCTACAGTCACGATATTTAGACCTGTTAACCTAAAAGGTTTTCTGTACGGAACTGCCAACCTACGTCTCCGAAGACGCAACACCTAAAGCCAACATTCGACATTTGT